ATTTAGGCAATTTTACCAGAGGTGGCCAGCATCAAGAAGAGATGATTTAGGCAAAAAACCATTTTCTCCAAAATATGACTTAGGCAGGCCATTAGTTTAAGAAGGTGACGCTATGTTTCTATGGGTTTGGCAGGGTTTCTGGCTTTAAATATATGTGTGTGTGTGTGTGTGTGTGTGTGTGTGTCAGTCCCAGTCCCAGTCCCAGCATGTTCACAGGTGTGTGTGTGTCTGTGTGTTTAATCAAGTCCCCCTTGCTCTGGGGTTGCATCTGTCAGCCACTGCCACCGTTGTGATCGTTTGAACTCACAGCCCTCTTCCAAAGAACCTCTCTCATTAGCAGCAGCTTATGTAATCAGTGTCCCACAGGTATCCAGCACTTTCCCCGCCCCTGCCTGCCCGCCTGCCTGCTGCCTCCTGGAGGACCATATGGGAGCGCTGACCTGATGAGCAGGCAGCTGGAGGTAGTGAGGGTAATTAACGCTGACCAAAGGCCTCTCAGGCAGAGAGGGTGTGAGTGGGTCCTCACAGATTGTGAAGGTCAGCTTTGAAAGGACTTTTCGGGCTCTCACACAAACACACACATGCATTCATCAGCATGGTGTAACACCAGGTGTGTACATTAGTCACATTTCTTGATTAAAGAGTCTCCAACATGCTGCTAGTTTTGTACAGTAACAATTTCCAGATATTTTTAGGAATGTGTATCAGTGCCACTTTGCTCTATGGAAATACCTTCTGAGAGCCTCGTAAAGCTTGTTGAGACAGTGACAATCTCTGGTCCCCCCGCCTAGTGCTGTCACATTGCTTTTATAACAGTGAAATTCACAGCGCCCTGGCTGGACATGCATGAATGTTTAAATTGCTCAGAGTGTCCATTGGCATTACCATCAAGTAGCACATCTAAAGCAGGGCAGGCAAACTCTACGGTCCCTCATTCACATTATAATTCATTGACATTCCTCTTCAGTGCTCCTCTGCATCAGCCTGTGGAGTACAGGTTTGTCCCCCTTGTTTGTTTCACATCATTAAAATGTGCAAATTAAAATGGGAACATGTCCATACAATTTAATGTAAGAAGGAAACCACTTCACAGAGGTGTTTCAGAATCTGCTACCATCTTTTAACTTCCTGTTAAAACCCTTATTTTGTAAAATTAACTTGTGTTCTTGCTTGAGCTGCAGAAATCCTTAACACATTTTTTTGTCACATGAGCATTTACCGAGACCAGAGCGAGCACAATATGCAACCTACAAGTTTTTCTTGTTTGCGTCATTAGGCCCCACGGAGAGCAGTTCATTAAAGATGCACTGTGTGAGACAGACTGAGAACATGTCCTCCACTGCAGGAGGAGGGGGGGGTGGGACATGGACAGCACAGATCTCTGCCCAAGACGTGGACCAAGAAACACAGACAGGACGGGAACAGGCTAAATATAACATCTCATTTTTATCACAGACGGCCAGTTTGTCTGCCATAACATAATAACAGATCTCAATGTGTACATATACCTCTTTAAAAACAATAGACTGTGGGTCTGTTGTTATGTACAGTTTTATTTACAACTGAAAAACTCAGCAATGAAATCAACTTATGCACATCTTTCTATCTGCTTGGTATAATGCATAAATTGTGTATGTACTATTGATTGCCATATATACATGAATGGCTTGCTCCATCAACATGACAACATTGACATTATTCTAAATGGTAGCACATTGTTTAAGTTTTACTATGTATAAACATATGTTCTGTCACACTGTACATTAATTAACAGTCCAGAAGGCAGATATTTAATTATGGATATTTACATTCATGCATCCATCATTTCTCTCATATAGGTACATGGTGGGGTATACTGGTAGCTAATATATGTTCATGTTTTAGATGCAAGCATGTGTTTTACCAAATGTCCACAGTTTAGCCAATATCTATACTTAACTGACAGCCACAGAGCACAGCCCACTCTCACTGAGTACACTCATCCGCATGCACACTCACAGACAGATAGACACACACACAAACACGCCCTCACACACGTACACGCATGCACGCACATACACACGCAGATTTAATTTATAAAAGCAGAGTGATGCTCCAGTTCAGCTCAGTTGTGTTTTTCCAGCGGGGATGTGGAGGATGCCGGTGACAGCACTGAGTCACACACACATCCCTGCTGAGGCCATCCTCTGTGCAACCTGATCTCTGGCTATTGGCTAAGTCTCCTGTCTCTCGCCAGTCACAAGGTCAGCCCTGGGCTCATGTCCCCTGTTTCTATAGCGATGAGCTAAGCCCTACTTGACAGATGGAAAAATAAAGATTCAAACAAAGCACGGCTGTGGGCATCTCGCTGACCCCAAGACTCTGAAACAACCGAACGACTTGTGTGAGCAGGTTTAACTTGTAGTGGGGAGCTTGCTTTGAGAGAACTAATCAACAATGGAAGCTGCCATTATGATGCGGCACAGAAATAATGTTCAGAAAACACACATTCACATATAGAGACACAAAGAAACCACTGACTTCTGAAGTCTCAATGAAACAGAGACAAGCATATCAAACACCCAGAGACAAAACAACTGGTACAAAAACTCTTTGCAGAGCAAGCGCGTTTTCTGCATCAGTGTCTCAACAAACTGACAGCAGGCTTAAAGCATCGGAGCATCACAAATGAATTATACGGTTTATAAATTATTCACTTAAAAAACAGAGCTATCAAGAAATAAAAATAATTCATCAAGATGTTTGAGTTTTGTAAAGATATGAGTAACTTTCAAGACAGGTTTTTTTTTCCTTTAAGTAGAAAAATAAATTCAAAAGGTAGATAAGTAATTAAATTGAACAAATAAATGGATGAATGACTGAAGTATATTACATTGAGCATTTTTGGAATGGTAAAATAACCGTCCTTTGTTGATGTCGTTGCTCTTCTTTTTTTTTTCAATATGGATTTCTTTAAATTGCATAGTCATATGAATCCACATCTGAGAGCCAGGACCGACAAGAACAACATGCCTCTCACAAAGCATCTGTCTCAAAAAATGCAGAACAAAAGATGGACAGTGTTGGGACTGGAATATAAAAAAATGTTGCATTCTATGTAAAAACTGCATGCACGTTATTTATTGTGTATGATGGGCCTCTCCTGTCCTGGGTGCTGTATTGTCTGTTGTTCCTTTGCAGATGTCAACAGTGTGTGAGGTCTGGATCTGCGGCCGACTGGCAGACAGTCCCTCTCCAGCCAGCAGCCAACCAGCCTGTCAGCAACACTTGCTGTTACTAAGAGCATAATGTTCAGCCTGCTGTGCCACTTTCGACACCATGGGGGTTTGTGGATTTTTCACTCCGTCCTTTCTGCCTTGATTTTTTTTCCTTCCATCTTTTGCAGCTCCTCTTGAGCTGAATGGTGTCTTCAGTCCGGGCAACATGTCAAGCAAAGAGGGGACGGTTAACCTATTGGAAAACCTCGGGTCAAACCCTGTTGCATTCTGGGTGAGAGGGGATTGTTGTATTCAGGGGGGGTTTAGGTGAGAGACTGTAATTGTGATGTCACTTCCTGTGTCTATCTGGAGACAGTCTATACCACAGTGTTGTTCGTGCCAATGGCCTTCTTGTTACGGATGCTCATGGCATATTCCCCGCGACTTGTCCCGTTCTCCTCCTTTCGTAGTGGTTTCCTGCAAATAAAGATTTTCATAAAGTCAAGATAAATTCCTTGACAAGACGTTACATTTACCCTCAGCTGAAGGCCATGTCATTAAACAGAGTTTTCTAGACTGTTAACCTTTAGGCTGATTAGATTTTTTGCGCTGCTCCGCTCTCAGCAATCCTTTCTAATAAGGAAAATGTTCAAAGGTCACTTTTGCAAGGAGACAGGAGGAAAATAAATATTGCAACGCAGGGGATACAGCAATTACCTACCCTGACTGGTAGATGCAATCTTCCCCCTAAGTAATGAATATTTGTGTGGCTGTCAAAACAACTTTGGAATAACATCGATACATATACTCCTCCAAACAGGGGGTAGTACTCTGTCCTTTCTTTGAGTACGTTCTGGTGCACACTAGCTGCAACACATGATCCTTGGTTCTACTGAAGAGCAGTATCATTCAATGCAGCCCTTTTCATGCATTACTCTGTGCCTTTGTGGTTATTATATTTGCCCAGTGAACTGTGGCTTCTGCACCGACCCCCTCAGCTGCTCTCCCCTGCTCGGGCTTATGTAACTCGGAGACAGATCTGAATACAGTTAGTACAGTCATTGTCCCACTCAACACTGTACTATGCCTTCATTGCCACAGAGGACCCTTGAGCGACATCTTAGCTCAGCGTCTCCTCTTTTCTCCTCTGCTCTGAAAGCTCTGGCTGGCCAGTGCAACTTTGACAGTCATTCTCAGTCCAGTCCAGCACAAATCTCTTCCCCTTATCAGGCATTGTGCCGCGAGGGAATCCTTACAGGGTGAGATGAGCTCATCTTGTAACCCAATACTACGGTTTGTTATGTTTAATTTTTGGTTGGACTGTGTAAGAGGGAGGAGGATTCACTCTTAAATATATTAATAAAGTGACTGTGTACCCTTTGAGATAAGAAACAACACATTCGTTTTCTACCAAGCAATACATTTAATTTGTAAACATTAAAATCCAATATTGCTCAATTTAACTAATGAGGTTTAGCTGCTGCAGCCTAGATGCATTTTAGCCATTATACAATGAAAGTTCAGCAAAAAAATACAAAGCCTCAGGACAGCATTTTTCTGCTGCTGTTGTGTAAGATTGTGTTGTATTCTCTCCTTTAAGATCTCAGTAAAAAGAAGTGAAATGCAAACTTTGTGAGCTTTAAAATGGCTGCATTTTTGATATGCTTAAACATTGGATTGCATTATGCCCCCTCATGTCATTGACAGACTGTCTTACACTCTAAATAAAAATGGACGTCTTATGTAAAATCTTTCAATATCTGTTAGGTCATTTTTTTGGCCATTTCTTGGACATAATATGATTGATAGTCATGTAAAATGTACAATTAGGGTGAGTTTTTTTTGTGCACATGCTCATTTGTTGACTGCTGTCAACTAAATTGGTGTGCTGTCTTTTCTCGTTTCTCCCGTGCACTTTCGCCGGTCTGTTTTTGCCACACCTATTATTCAAACGTCTTGTTGCTGTCAGGTTTTTAAACGGTTCCTGTCTTGGCTGTTTTTCAGCTGTCATTTCAGCCCTGTGAACCTCCACCTCCTGTGTTCCAGAAACTCTCATCTGTCAACAAAGTCACTCTCAGAGTCTTTACCAGTCTTTAAAGATTCACTCAAAAAAATAAGAACTGTCACAATGGGGTCGAAATAATAAACACTCTCAGCATGCCTAATCTGTCATTTTTAGCTATGCGAGCAGCATGGATAGGAATTGCAATTTTAGTCTGTCAGCCCTTCGCTTTGTGCCACACTGAAATATCTCAACACCTGACATTTTGCACACATTCATTGTCCCCGGTCCGGAGGGCGAATCCTACCGACGTTTATGATCCCCTGACTTTGACTCTATTGTCATGATTTATTTTTACAATTTATTTCTTAAATGTTCCTTTTTTTGTGCATTTTCGTATTTATTTGACAGTTTAGAAACGGGGAGGGAGAAAGTGGGGTATGACATGAAAATAAGGTCCCATGGCCATAATCTAACCCTGGACATTGCGGTTTTAAAGAAGATGAAAATAAATGACAGATTTTTAAACTTTGCAAACTGCATGGAGTTGTTGGGGCTGTTGCAGATGATCTGAGCCAATGGCATTGAGCAAAGTTGTAAACAAAACATGTGGCAATGATGACTAAGACTTCCTGTGGGACTCTGTCAGCTGGGAGGGGTCACAGGGATGAGGACACCAGGGAAACATGGCGACCATATAGGACAGATGCTGCTTCCGGTGTCCCCATGGGACCCGGGGAAAAACCTCAGAATAGAAACCGCCCAGCCTCAGGATGGAAACACATTTCGCTGCGGGGGAGATGATTGGCCGATGCAGATGCAGCTAGGGGAGTTGGGATATACCAACGTTTTCTCTAAGGGACAGACGGCAGTGTTTACAGCCAGTCTGGGAATTCTACCACTTGGAATAAAATGTCAACAAGTTCAATGTTCGTTAAAAGTTATGCAGCGTCCTTGCATCTCACCAATTATTTAACTTTTGCCAGGTCTGTATTTCTTCCACTACGTTCTGACGCTGGTGAACTTAGGCCTGCTGGAAGGTGCTCTGGCCCTGTTGGTTGTAATCTCCGCTCAGACTGACCATGTCGCTCTGGGCCGCCACACAGGGCCTCAAGCCGACCTCTACCCAGGCCTTCAATAAAAGATGCCATGCTGTTGACACATGGCAGGTGGCAACACAACATTTCACAGGTTAGATGAATATTTCATATCAAAGCTGTGCAATCACAGCGCACATTCCTGTTTGAAGTTTGGGGAATGGATCATGGCGAAATTGGGACATGTGTTGAGCTGTTTACAATTACTCTAGCCATCTGGAAATTAGAGTAACATGCTATGGTTAAAAGAAAACACATCAAAAACAGACTGTAAAAATCTGTCGCCGGTTTTAATGGTGCTGGTGCAGTAATTTTAAAAATAAAACAGAGGAGATTAATAATGTATTAGTAAATATTGAATTTTAAACCATTTTGCCTGACAAGTATTTCCCTTGTATTGTATTTTGGATATTCTCTTTGCCCTTGGATAGAGCAGCTGTGATGTATTATCCGTCTTTGGACAAGCCTCCCTGAGCGGTAAGTGATTGGGAAATGCTTCTAGCTTCATTAGTCACTTGGTCTGAGTTTTGTTTGTTTTGGCTTCTTGGACGGCTGACAGCCTGGACTGCAGCATCATGTCTTTAGCTTTGGATGGCACAGCAACACTGAAACGCAGCGTGTGTCTGAATCCTCTCCTCAATGCTTGCACGCACCAGCCTCCCTGGTGCTGTGGACTCTGAATAGAATTGTATGGAAGTGTTTTTCCATCCTAGCCCGTTTGCTTCAGACACATGACTGGCAGACAAAGATTATAAAAAATAACAAAAGGCCAGCAGGGCTGGGACCCGCAGAGCTAGCTCCTCTGCTGTCTATGCTGCTCAGGCAGGCCCTGGCCCTCGTCCAGCTGATTTTCATTGGGAAAGCCCGAAGCACTGAGGGGCTGCAAGCGCTATATATAACTGGCCATGTTATTCTTGCTGACAAACCCTCTCTCACATTGTTATTGACTCGGACGCTCAATTACTGCCTTTACTTACTTTCGTAGACAACATTTGTCTGTCCTTTTCGCTGTGTTGTTTCCTCTGCCTTCCGCTCAGGAACGATGGATGATTAGAGCATCCGTGACAAATGTTAAAGGGATCACATTTTTTCCTGGACTGCTCTCTTATTGGCTGGTGACTAATGAATGTCTAATGAGGCCAGTCTGGCTGGACATGTGTATTTCTCCCTTCTCAGAGAGGGCAGCTTGGCGTGGCACACAGTCTGCAGTCTAGAGCCCACAGAGCTTCAGGACACGACCCGGTTGCATGTATAAAAGATGTTGCCTGCGACTGAATGACTGCGCAAATTAATTCATAAATAATGACTTGGGTTTGGGGCTAGAGCCCATATTGCAACAACACTTTTCTACCACTGCTGCATTAAAAAAGGTGCCCCTTGGCTACACAGGGGGCTGGAGAATTGCCATAATGAATTCCTGAGCCAACCACCCATTACTTCCACTGCCTGACTTTGCCTATTTGTTGTTTAAAGAAAGGAGAAATAGAATTCTGCTGAGGAAAGCCATATGTGGCATACAGGCTTAATACAATTCCATAAAAATAACAAGGTATGCTATTAAATCAATTTAAACACACATAAATAAAAGATAGAAGTAGCTCCCTGATTTAGCACATACATCCTTGGCTGTTTTCACATGGGTGTGTGGAGAGTCAATGTTTATAGTCATTTTATAGAGTGTGTAAATATGCCAACATGATGTATCTATGTATGTAAAGATGTTGTGAGCTTATGGATGGGTGAACACAAATCCCTGCATGTGCAGTGCTTCGCACGATATGGACGTGTGTGTGAGTGTGTAAAATGTCTGCGAACATTACTGTGGATGTCAGAATGCATGTGTGAGACGGTGCTGCCTGAATGTCACACAGAGAAATGGGTCTGGGTTGTGCTGCAGTCTAAAACCTCACGCAGTCTTTTCTCTAATAAGCCAAATGGGAGAAATATTTCCCTCTGCCACAGCGGCGTCTTGGGATTCCTCTGCTCGCCTCTCGCTTTCATGAATCCAGCTGCTGTTTTAGAAAGCTTTAGACACTTATGCAAATTAGAAATCAACACAGTATATTTTAAAGCTGGATCATAATGCGCCTCGATAAATTAATTTATATGATGTTTCCGGGCGACTCAGTGTAGTGGATCTTTCTCAGTGACATTTACAACCCAGTCCATTATCTAACCTCTGACCTCAGTGTGACCCAGCTGGGTGATGACAGGGTCAGCGTAGCCTCACACACAGGCAGGAGATATAGTACAGTCTAAACATGAGTCAGATTACACATGATGTGTTGGGTAGCCTGCCTGTGATAGATCCTATTTCAATTTGTCCTCACAAAATATTTCAAAGTTCTTACTGAAATACTACAAGAACAGAACAAGACAAGAGTAACACCCAACCTCTTGATGGCCTTGTAGCAGATGATGATGGCTGAGAGGAGGAAGACCACTGAGGCACAGCCCACCGTTCCGAGCACTACGATGTCCATCTCCATCCACCAGGGCCTCAACGAGGGCTCCACGGGCTCTGGCACTGAGAAACAGAGAGAGAAGAAGAGGGGACAGTAGGAGAGGGTCGGAAACAAAATAAATCAGAAAAATAATGAAAAAACAATTATGAGAGCTCAACCCTCAAGATAAAACAATGACTTTTTTTTAGTGATTGCGTTATACAACTTTTCCTCCCAGGTCTCTGAGTTTGGAAGACGTTGTGTCCTCGTCTGTTCTGTAGGTCTTAGGTTCAACGTTCAAAGATATCTAACCCGACACCATGAATCATTTAAGGTCCCATCAGCCTTCCGTACACCAGCACTCTTGTCCACACCAATTACTGTTGCAGGAACCTCCTGCTCTTTCTACATCAGATCAATGGTGTAAGACCACTCACCAGGAATGTTGTATAACATTATGTGCATCAGCTACTTCGTATCTGTAATGCAAAACTTCTCTCTTCTCTTTCTGCAGCGTTTGATGCTCTCCCAGCATCTATAAATCAGTTTAGTCATGTGCATATCTATCAATCAATGAATGCCGATTTGTTCCAGTTTTGTGCTCCTGAGAAAATACTCTGTGCTGTATATAATAACAAACTTGTAGCTCCTGCATTGACAGGTATGTTGTTATGTATGGGAGGAAGGGGTTTACACCATGGCAACAACTACTCCTTAGTAATGCTGTAGACTATTTTCCAACACAGCACATTTCTAAGAAGCAAATAACAACTCACGGCTTTCCCCGGTACAGCACACTACGTCATAAGTCAGTGAATTTAAAACCTCCTCTCAGCCAAATTTCCATTTTAATCCTGCGTTTTGTCAACGGCTGTAGGATTTAATTCAGTCAGTGTAAGGATCTACTTCATTGTGATATAGCACACTCCTTTGAAAGGACTTTGGAAACCGTTTTTAGCACACATAGACTTAAGTTACAGTGCCAATTGTATCACTTTTTTTCAAAGACTTCAAGCAGATAGATAAGATCTCAGTCATTGTCCCAGTTTTAGCTATGCATATTCATTGCATTTTTAAAGACTACGGTTAAAGGCAGGATTTCAGCTTTAACTGCTCTGCAAATTGGGCTACGGAAGGAAGATCAGGGTAATTATGCGCTTGTATAGATTAAATTAAAAACTGAAGAAAAAAACTCCCTTTAAGTGAATTATTCATGGCGTCTCCACCCTCTGCAAACATTTCTGTGTAAAGTTAAAAAGGAATAAAAATTGGCCTGCTTATCATATTTATCCTGATGCGCCGCTGTTTATGGATGCAGCTTTCACAGTTCCACTCGAGCGCTGTCTGTAATTGGGCATTCAAACTCCCACCTTCGATCCTGACAGCATTTATACAGTGACCAACATTTGGAGAAGGGTCTATAACTCTTGATAGGTATCTCACATGTTGAGTCAGGGGGGGGAAAGGTCTATTTAAAAATTGACCAAACAGAAATAAATAATTGGAAGTGATTGATTAAAACCTTTACACTGCTGCCTGGTGAGACTGATGATGAAGTGCTCCTCCCATCTCATAATATTAAGGGCTCAGGGTGAGTGATTCTTAAGAGTCACAGTAATAGCTCAGAATGGCTGAATCATCAGTAACGCCTGTCTCATATCAGCACACTGTTCATTAAGGTGCTTGAGACCTTATACAAATCATATCAACTTTCAGCAAGCAGCCTTATGAAATATGGTTGCCTATCTGTCAATGGATTTAGCATCTCAGAGGGAGTGTCGGATGGAAAACTGCTGCAACAGGCAGCAGTTCCTCACAGATATACGTGTATGCTTGTTGTAAACAAGCATTAATACACACACGCACACGCACACACGCACACGCACACGCACACACACACGCACACACACACACACACACACACACACACACACACACACACACACACACACACACACCCTCATTGCCGCCAGCTCAACTTCAAAATGAAGCTTAGATGGTTGGTTCATTAGATGCTTATCTCTAACAAATTAAAGCTAATTGAATTAACTCATCTGTGTTTTAATCAGGGGTCTCCCGGGGGAAACCCACCACTGAAACTCTGAGCTTGACAGCCCAGCGGGCATGGATTTCACAGGCAGCTGGGTACTCCCGGAGGTCAGACCCGGCATAAATGAGTCCTGTGTTCAGCTGTCAACATCCTGCTGGCTCTATCACACGCACAGACACACACGTGCAAAACAGTGCCCATGCACGGGGGCTCGCACAGTTATCTCAGGGGGTTGATGGTATATTTTTCTTTTTGAGCATAAAAGGAAACACTTCACGTAAAAACGGTCAGATTAGCCAGTTGCTTGACACCTGCGTTTGGCTTAGAATGAGATCCTACTGTGGGGCGAGAGCAGACTCAGAGTGAGACAGGCCGACTTGGAGCGAGACATGTGTGAAACCTGGGAGTGAGAGCTGGGAGTCCTACCTGTGGTGCCCAGTAGCCGTGGAGGAGGCGGAGGAGGTGGCGGAGGAGGAAGGGGGGGGTATCTTCTACAGTGGCATGCCAGCTGGCACTGTTCGCTAACTTTCTCCGCCACAGTCTGTGAGCATGACCTCTGGAGTTCTCCCTTATGGTGAGGAAGAGGAAGAGAAAGAGAAAGAGACAGAGAGGGAGAGGGAGAGAGAGACATTGAAATTACTGTGGCACTGTCCTTCAGTGCATTACTCATGAGTGCCATCAGCACAACACTGTGCATCACAAATGTAGAGGCTTGAACACTCAGCAGCCTCTCAGTTAGCAGCCCTGTGGATATCCTCTCTGCATTATTTTCCTATGTTGTTGTCACTGGGGCTGCTGTGTATGTAGTACATGCAGAATAGTATCGGGTCTATGGCTGCAGCACGCTCCCTGTAAGAAACCACCCACCAACAGAGTGGGCAGCAGGCTGCCCCGAGGAGTGTGCGTGGGTGGACTTGGAAACTCAAGCAGATCGCATTACACATGAACCCTGGCAACACTGCGTGCGTGTGAACAGCTCACCACTATCTGTAGGCAGCAGCGTGGGGCAGAGGTTAGAATACTCATCACTAACATATGCCTGATGCAGGGATCCTGGTGGGATAACTGAATATTGTTATCAAAAACATAGTTGGCTACTCCATGTTCCCTCTACAAAAGAAAAGTGTTTGTGTGCATAGCTATATGTCTTGCTGGAAACTCTACACATGCATGCCTGTCAGTATTTCCTAAACACAGGTGAACTGGTGATCTCAACATCTGGTGTAAACAAACAAAGCACTGCATTGCATAGATATTATAATAATATAATGAGTATATACGTTTCTTGAAAAAAATCAATCAGTTATACAGTTGTTATCCATCAGTAAATCAACTCCAGTTACATTATAGTGTGACATAATCTCATGCGTAAATTGACTAAGTGGAGCGGCTGAACCTGATCCTTACCTGGCATGAGAGTAAAAACAGTGAGAGAAGGCAATGACCGAAGAAAAAAGGCCAAAAACTTAAAGTAAATGGCATTAGATCTTGGACCAGCATTCCTCTTGCGCTGTTCTCGAAGATACTAGGCAGGGGTTCCAACAAATAAATGCAGTATACATAGGCTTGAACTGTTTGGGAAATAACCATCCACCCTGTCCAGTTCAGCGGCGATATCTGTGACAAGCGTCTCCAGAAATAGTTTATGCCACAATCATTTTCCTCTTGAAATCCCGTTGTTGATAGCATAGGACAGGCGAGCCGGTGGAATGAGTAGCAATCTCGATAATTCACATCTCGAAAGTAGTTTTTTTCTTATTGGCACTCAGATAGCGACCTGAATCACGCCGCTACTCCGTGCAATGTGAGGGCGGTAGATGGCCCGTACCTTACATCCCTCCTCGGCTGCAAGCATGAGTGCAAATGGGCCACTCAAGCCATCGAAGTTGAAGGGAAAAAAAGCGAACAGAGAGAGATCCTCAGGAATATCGTGCGGCAGGATTCCTCACAATAGGATCACACATCCCCTCAACTTATCTAGGCTGAACACTGTATGGGCGAGTCCGGAGGGCAGAGCCGAGGGTTAAACTGATGCATCCCCCTCTGTGCCAAAATACATTTTATACGGGAGCATCACCACCGCGCACTTGATGCAGCGCTCACATCAGCTCATCCTGACAGCGTGTGCTCAAACAAATTCACCCTCCGCTACTCATAAAGTCCCCCCTCCTCTTAAAAAAAAAAACACAGGAGGTGGTTATGTAGGCGTCGGTAATGTCAGCGGTTTGTTTGTGTTTGCTTGTTTAGGTTGGATTTGTTTTTTTAAAATAGTGGTCCAGGCAGAAAGTATAGCCCACAATGCGTGGAGGCGAGTCCATAAGGATGACGCGTACAAGACCGAATTAAAGTCAAGTAGAGAGAGATGGAGAGAGCGCTTGAGACGCCTACCGACTGAAAACACTGCCGCATGTTTGATTTGTGCCTGCGAGAAGAACACTCAGTGGTCCAATGTCCCGAAGTAGGTTGAGATAAACAATACTGATGTAACCTGGCATTCACTGCTAATGCTCAACTGCAAAGACATTTATAAGATATTTATTAGATGTTTCTTTTCCAACCAGAGCTTCATTTTATTTATTTTGTAAAACCATCATGGTGAAATGGTTTATAGGATGTGATGCTTTAGGCCAAAGTGCAAAAATAATCAGACTGAAATGGGTAGTTGAGCAGAGTTGCATAATATTGATGGTGGTCTACTCTTTACAAGGCACAGTTATGAAATTACCCCACAGCCCACAGCCATGGACAGAGAGAGACAAAGTGACATTCTCAGTTTACTGGAAGTTACTAAAACACATAACTGACAGTGGCAATAAAACCCTGTGTTTATCTTGGTGCAAATAAGGGAGGCAAATAAGAAGGATGGTTTTGGATCTGAGTGAAATAATTCATCCTGTTAGAAAACAAAATAATTCAACTAACTACCAGCACTGAAAATTGGATACTTTATTGATCAACTCAATTTGCATAATACAGAAAATGTATTGATTAGTAGGCCTATTGTGATAATTGTTGATTGTCCAAAAGCTGCAAAGTGTACCAATTTATACCAAAAGGTATTTTGTAATTGGGAGTTATAGTGCATCCGGAAAGTTTTCACACCCCTTCACTTTTTCCACATTTTGTTATGTTACAGCCATATTTTTAAATTGATTAAATGTATTTTTTTTCTCAGCATTCTAGACACAAAACCCCATGATGACAAAGTGAAAAAAGTTTTAAAATAATTGTAAGTTTTAAAATAATTGTTGCAAATAATTAAAAATTAAAAACTCAAATATCACATAAACATAAGTATTCACACACCCTTTACTCAATACGTTGTTGAAGCACCTTTGGCAGCAATTACAGCCTCAAGTCTTCTTGAGTATGATGCTACAAGCTTGGCATACCTTTTTTAGGCAGTTTCTCCCATTCTTCTTTGCAGATCGTCTCAAGCCCCATCAGGTTGGATGGGGAGCGTCGGTGCACAGCCATTTTCAGATCACTCCAGAGATGTTCAATCGGGTTCAAGTCTGGGCTCTGGCTGGGCCACTCAAGGACATTCACAGACTTGTCCTGAAACCACTCCTTTGTTATCTTGGCTGTGTGCTTAGGGCCGTTGTCCTGCAAAGGTGAACCTTCGCCCCAGTCTGAGCTCCAGAGCGCTCTGGAGCAGGTTTTAATCAAGGATCTCTCTGTACATTTAAGCGTCTTTGAGCACCTGTAAAAGCGCTAACAAATTAAATCTATTATTATTATTATTATTATTATTATTACATTGCTGTATTCATCTTTCCCTTGATCCTGACTATTCTCCAAGTTCCTGCCGCTGAAAAACATCCTCACACCAGGATGCTGCCACCACCATGCTTCACTGTAGGGATGGTATTGGCCAGGTCTGGTTTCCTCCAGGCATGATGCTTGGCATTCAGGCCAAAGAGATCAATTCTGTTTTCACCAGACTAAACTATTTGTATTCATCATGGTCTGAGAGTACTCTGGTGCTCCATGGGGGCTTTCATGTGCTTCCTTCTGGCCACTCTACCATAAAGGCCTGATTGGTGGAGTGCTGCACAGGTTGTCCTTCTGGAATGTTCTCCCATTCAGTTTGGTTTGGGCGGCCAGCTTTAGGAAGAGCCGTGGTGGTTTCAAACATCTTCCATTTGCAAATGATGGAGACCACTGTGGTCGTTGGGACGTTCAATGCTTCAGACATGTTTCTGTACCCTTCCCCAGATCTGTGCCTTGATACAATCCTGTCTCTGAGGTCTACAGTCAATTCCTTGGACCTCATGACTTGGTTTGTACTCTGATGTGCACTGTCAACAGCGGGACCTCATATACAGGTGTGTTCCTTTCCAAGTCATGTCAAATATATTTTATTTAACACAGGTGGACTCCAATCAAGTTATAGAAACATTTCAAGGATGATCAGTGGAAATGGGATGCACTTAAGCTCAATTTTCAGTGTCAAAGCAAAGGGTGTGAATACTTATGTACATGTGATATTTCATTTGATTATTTTTAACACGTTTGCAAAAAAATCTTTAAGAACGTTTTCACTTTGTCATTATGGGGTATCATGTGTAGAATATTAAGAAACAAAATTAATTTAATCCATTTTGAAATAAGGCAGTAACATAACAAAATGTGAAAAAAAGTGAAGGGGTATGAATACTTTCCGGATGCACTGTATATATTTATGTTTTTGGCTTTTGATTGGACTTATAAGACATTATTGAGACCTTTCTTTGAGATTTAGGAAATGACGATAGGCATTTTTGACTATTTTATTACTTTCATTTTCTCACTTTGATCAATTGTGACAGAAATGTATGCTTTGTCCCTACACAGTTTTTATTCTTTCTCCATACTAGCTTCAACAGGGATCTTGTTGTTGAGCACCAGCAACGGCCCTTTACCTGTTAAAAAAAAATTGGCACCTCAACTGCTTGAAGCTTTGCAGGTCAGTTTCTCTGCTCAGCCAACACTGCTCGGGTTGTATGTCAGTCTCATTGCTTATTCATGTTTCATACATCCATAATCATTTGTTGTGCTCCTCTGTTTGAAAGTATTGCTGGTGGCTTAAATAGCAGAAGTGACAGCCAAATGTGTCACAGCCTGCTTATTCCAAATAACACAAACAGCGTTTAAGCCAACTATTCAAACAACTTTGGCTTACCATCAATGGATTGTAGCCCTACAGTCTTTTGATGCGGCTCAGCATTTATCACATCTCTTGCCTATCAAAACACTCTTCACAGGCAGTAATGGGGTGAGCTAATGCACAAGAGCTGTGAATGGCTTTTAGAGTGGAAAATCCACATCTGCTGCTGAACTGCATTTGAGCTTACAATGCAGAGATTTTCCAGAGTTTCTAAAAAGTGCACAACAAGGCTGGTTTTTTTCTTGGTGTGCCTGGCAGTTCAGTTCATCCATCCTCTCCTACAGTCTGTCCCAGTATTGATTATCTGACAAGAGGAAAGCACTACATCCTCCTGGTTCCTTCCTGCTGCCTCAACTCATTCCAACTAGCAGCAATCTACCACAACATACATCAAGGCACTTTTAAACTCAGATAAGAAAACCTCTTAATGAAATTACTGTGGTCTTTCAGTGTGATTATTCCAGCCAAGATACTTAATCAACAACTCTGCAAACAAATAGAGCCCAAAATATTGCATGCATCCAACAAATGGAGCTTTTAATACCCAGTGTCATTTGAGGAATATTGATGTTCAGAGACTATTAACTCCACTGCATTTATCTTGACGATCTGTATATTTCTAATTTAATTTAAAAAGGCCAGCTTGGCTGTATCATAGTAGAGGTAGATTGCCATCTAGTGGGAAAGCATGGCAACACAAGACATTAGGGCACTATACATTCATTCAACGGGATAAGTTAAGTTGTTAAAAGGGCAGAAAGTGCATTTTTGTTTCAAGTAGAATTTTTGCTTTACTAGATTTATATTTTATATTTTCTAGTTATTTATTGTAAATTAGTTTGCATGTATTCCTTATATATGGCTAGCCTTTCTTGCGTTGTCACAATTTAAATATATATATAAAAAAAGAAAAAGCTTTGGTCTAAGGTCTCTTTTTCTATGACCATATTTTTATTTATTTGTCCGGATCCAGATTGAGAAGTGATAGGGGGGACATAACATAGCTTACAATAGAACATGTGCACTAATGTTTGCACCTTGAAGCGCTTCTGCCAAGGAGCTATACAGACAGTCAGTTTTCAGTCATATTAAAACTCCACTGGACTTCTGCTATATACATTGTATGTCACATTAGTTTATAGCATTACTGTGCATCATAGAAGACCATCAACACTCCCTGTTTGCAGCCTTTTCACATTGCAGTTTGCCTGTTTAATAAAAAAAAAATGCAGCTTACAAATCTTTGGTGCAGCAGTGAAAAGTTACACTTATAGTTGTATTTTGGTGTGTGGCAGCTCCCATGACCCTCCTAAATTGGATTAGAGTGGATAGGTACATAAAGAAGCAAGTAAAATGTATCATTTGGTTGAGTGTCTATCAGTTAAATCGGCTCAATCTTCCAAACATCTGAAAGGCTGGGTAAACATCCTGTCCACCTGTCTTGCCACAAGGACAGCATCACATTGTGGGATTTATGGATGCCACTATGCTTCCTCTTTCTCCTTCACTTCAAAAGCACAGGAGTGGGGTGGCAGGCCAGGGGAGGGGAGCCCCATTGTTAATTGGCCTTTTCAGATGAACAGAGAGGTGAAGGAAAGAAGAAGAGAGGAGGACAAAAGGGTCCCATTGCCTCTTCAGAACAAGAGGGATGCACCGCCTGAAAAAGATAGACCAGCCAGAGCACATATAGACCTTCAGGGCTCTCCTCACACAACCTCAAACTGAGTGAATGAGGCAATCAATCATGTTAGCTGCAGCTCACTCCAAACAAATGGCCTGTAGCTTCCAGCCTGCAGATTGTTTTTTAAAAACCCTCTGTCCTGGTGCTAGAGTGGTTCAGAGTATATGCTTTAAGGGCAACATTCTGCACAAGTATGTGGTGTTACTTACCAGAAAAGCTTTTCCTCACATCTCAGGCCACTTCTGCTGCTGTTCAATGGGACGATAGGTACTCTTTTTCCACTTCAATAAGGGGATGAAGCTCAATTAGCATTTCACAAGTCCCCTTTCCTCCTCCATTGCAACCTTCCCCGCGGAGCCCATGCTTTCTCTGGGGATTGTCCTGTTTTGGGCCCTTGTTGCCGTTGGCAGGGTGACAGTATTCGAGTGTGCAAACTTGTGCTATTGTCCGCGGGCCAGAGGGAGCCATGGAGACCCCATAATATGACACAGGAAAATGTTTGCTGATGGCAATTCTATGGGCTTTGTCCGACTCTTTCTCCTTCATGACGACTCGATTTAAGTCTCTAAATGTTTGACTACAAATGCAGGAGTGCTATCCAGCTCCTTTCCCTTTGTCCCGCGAGGTTTGAATGAGTAATTCAGCCTTTGTGTCGCTCGATTGAGGGGGCAAACAGAAAGACAAGATTCTTGAGCGTTCAAGCCCCTTTCCATGGTTATGCACTCTTTAGATCCCCCCCCTCACCAAATCCTACAGCTGACATCACTCCTGGGGAGGGTATGAGGGGCTGTTAAAAAACTCAACATTAAACGCTTCAGAATAAGGCAGAATGCAGGTATATTTCCGTGAAACTTGCACTCATTTTATTTTAAGCAGACTTAGAATTTCTGGAGATATTGGGCCAACGCGCGGAAATTGTAGAGAAATATCACATCCCCTCAGCGGCTTTTTCCAGGTCTCCATGACAACAATTTGCAATGGTGAAGAATTCGATACCGGGGGAGGCTGATTGGGGTGCATTGTGAGGGGCCTGGGGTCGCTGATTGGTTCAAGGAAAGCACCATAACTACAAGGAGTTTATATTCATTCAACTTGTTGAAGTGCTCCTACTGCAGCCTCGACAGAAGTCTGAGCTTGGACTGTGGCGGGATTCATCCAGGAGTGGTGAGTAAAGGGTTATTATTACTAACTGAGAGGGATCTAATTTAATTTACACTTGAAAATATAATGTATATAAATAAAGAATAATGTGTAATTACGCATAGCCTAAGTTTGTTTTCTGATTTTCCTTTAGATGTTGATGGTGGACTACAACTCCAACATGGACTGATTTGATCCAAATCTATGCAAAAATGGCGAACGCGGACAGTGAGGTCAAGACGTTGCTGAATTTTGTCAATTTGGCCTCCAGCGATATCAAAGCAGCCTTGGACAAGTCAGCTCCTTGCAGACGCTCCGTGGATCACAGGAAATATCTGCAGAAACAACTGAAGCGTTTCTCTCAGAAGTACTCCAGAGTCCCCAGGTGCCACACGCACAGGTCTGCTGAGTTTGGGTGTGCAAAACCTGTGGGAGCCGCTAACCAGAGTGTGAAGGTCACAGAGAAGGCCAGCTTGGATGTTCAGTCTGCCGAAAAGGTGAGGAGCGCAACGGAGCAGGTGCCTATGAGGAAACGCCAGCTACCAGCCTCATTTTGGGAGGAACCTAAATTGACCCAAACTAAAGGAGACGACTCACATACAGGATTAAAGAAGAACCCTGCAGGGCCATGTGCGGGCAGTGAAAATGAAAATAAGAAGAGGAGTTATGATGATGACGCTAAGGTCACTTTGTCTGCGTCCAGTCGACGCAGCACTGCGGATAAAGACACTCTGAAAATGGACCTGAGCTCTCACCACTGTGTGAGTGTGTGCGGCTGCTGTCCCTTCCAGTACCACGGACACCAGGTCCTCCACAGTCACATTGTTGTCCCCCATCCTGCCCTTGGACTGTGGAGCAAAGCAGCAGAGACAGAGAGACCTGAGCATCCTTATGGACAGAAACTACACACGCACGTTGTGATCAAACCCATACCGACTAAACCCACCGTGCAGTCACCAATATTCAGTGTGTTTGGATTCATTTAATTACCCTACTAGTGGACCAGTCACACAAAAATGTGTAAATAGGACTAATTATTTTTGATTTTGTTATGTTTGTCTTAAACATTTGTATAAGAGACACTTCCTCAAGCACTTACTGGAGAGCAACATCTATTTTTCTTGTTTAAACCTAAAGGACTAAGTTGCACTTGCAGAATCACGTTCACTTTCATGCCAGTCTGATGCCTTCCAAGTTTCTGAACACTGACAGTAAGTCAAAAGGTTTTTACTTTCAGGTTTCTGCAGAGAATGATTGCTCTTTTTTTCCTGCAAATGAATGAGACCATCCTGTTTTAGTTTCTCTTTGAACCATGAGAATAGAATGTGGGACATAGATTGTTTTTTGTTTTCAAAGTAATTTTTGATAGTCACATTTGAAACAATTACTTTTATTTTTAAATAAATGATTCAACTTCCCTTCCTTTGGGCATTAGATTATTTTTGCTTTCATTGAGCATATCTTTGAAGCTACAAACACCCTGACGGACAGATTAAAGAAACTCATTGTCACGTTTCTTATGTTATAAATAGATATTTTATACATAGAGGATTGCATTTACAGATTGAAGATATCGGATGCAGCTAAAAAAAGAAACACAAAGGATAAATGTTGTCACATCTCTGATGCCGATATTGCTTGAAGTTCACTTTAAAGTTAGTCAGCCAGGCTTAGGTATCTGATCAGTCTGTCTGGCAGAGGTAGACTTGGGAGAGATTTCAGTCTGTGTCTCCCTATTTGTGTCCGAATCCTGAATCTGCAAAGGTGCATCAGTGGACGAGGTGACACTGTGGACAAGAAAAGGAGAAGAGATAAACAGGATCGTCCTCAGCATATTGGGCCACATTTGCATTGCATGATGAAGTGAAATACACATTTGCATGTCAGGAAGATAAGATTTTGTCAGATGCTTACATGACTTCCTTTTTACAGCAAGCCATTCTTCTCGGCTGTCCAACAGTTCAGTGAGCTTACTGCATAGCTGAATGTTACCAACATGCTCCAGCAGCAGGTCTATGATCGGTCCAGCCCATTGACACATAACTGATGTGGACATCCACTCACAGAACTGAAAAAGAAAAACAAACTTATAAAGAACAACACAAATCTCAGTTAATGTGAAATCCGGAAACTGTATTTGATTTTTTTCACACCTGTGTTTCTCTTTCTGACATTCCACTGCAGTTAAAAGGAAGCATATTGTCATTCTGTATTACAAATCCATTGTTGCCAACAGTTCTTATGTCTGATCCTGATGTTGTTGAGTGAGGGGCACAGCCGTATGTACAGGAAAAACAGGAGAGGGCATCACAGCCATTGTCCAAAAGGCACTTAAGTAGAGGCAGATTATTCATGCAGAGTGCAACAACAGCAGGGAACGTAGTGGCATAAGAGGGTAATCTGGCGCTGACATCGGCCCCTCTGTCCAGCAGTAGGGACACTGTGCTGACACAGCCCTGCCGTACAGCCATCAGCAGAGGACTGACCGGGTCTAAGCTTAGACTAGCCCCAGCGTTCAGCAACACCTCTGCTGTCTTGGTGCTGCCGTTGGCAATAGCAAAGTACAGGGCTGTTGCTCTTCTATCCGCATACTGCATGGAGTGACTGCTGGCCAGCCTGGCGTTTACGTCTACGCCTGTCTTGAGGAGCACAGCTGCCACCGTGTGTCTGTTGTGCTCTGCTGCCAGGTGGAGGGGGCTGACACAGCTGTGGCGGAGCCTGGCTCGACTTGTCACTGAGACAAGCATGGACACAATCCTGAATGCAAAGAGAGAACACAAAAATACAACATATCATAGCTCGATTCAAAACAACTAAAGCTGTCTTCAACCAATAAATTATAATTTGACTAACACTGATACAATTGTGTTAAGTAAATCTTGTATTAAACTGAGATGTGCTCTTAAGTCCTCAGTCATTCAGTAAAGAAAAACATATTTATCAACTTAAGACATCTTAGTCGATTAAGATCAAAACAACCAATTAGTTGATTAGGGGGGCAGCCAACAACAAAAATGTCTACATTATTCCCACACATTTTGTAACTGAATTTAAATTGTACATCTTGACCAATGTTGTCTCTTAAAATAATGCTTAATTAACAAGGTCTCAACTTACTCATGGTGTCCATATTGGGCAGCAATATGTAGTGGCAGCAGTCCTGAGTTATCGGGTTTGTTGGCATCTGCATGTTTAGTCAAAAGCACTGCCACACTTTCCTTGCCTCCATTTTTACTAGCCTCATGAAGCGCTGTGATGCCATCGCATGTCTGCATGTTCACATCTGCACCTACAGAACAATATTGTCACTTTACAGCCTTAAAATGGGGATCAGAAACGTGTAAAGGACGAATATTTGGAAGAAAATAAATGTACCTTTCCCAATAAGGTAACACAGTGCCCTCATCTGTCCTCGCTGAGCTGCTACAATGAGAGGTGTGACGCTGTAGGTGTTCGATGGGTTGATTGTGGCCTGTGCACTTGTTAGGATCTCACAGATCTCAGTGTTGTCCCTGGATACAGCCTCGTGGAGGGCCGTCCAACCCTGACCACACCGCTGGTTCACAGTGGCCCCGTAGGAGAGAATGAGACTCACCATGTCCACATTCTCCAACTCACAGGCTACAGAAACAGACAAAACGCTCAGCTGTTATACAGTTACCAATAATGTGTTTTCCTAAGTCTATTTTAAAGATTGATTTCACAGCTGTACCTTTGTACAAAGGGGTTTCTTTGTTCTTGCTGCTGATGTCGGGGTCGGCGCCTGCCTCCAGAAGACACCGAACACATGACAAGTGTTCACACGACACAGCGAGCAGCAAGGCCGTCTGCTCCTGCAAGGTACGCTTGTCTACCGTACCTGGATGAGCTGGAGCAGAACATATACATATCACACAAACAGTCAGGTGTCTGGGTTCATTTCGCATAACAGTTCTATGAAAAGATAAATGTTTTTGTTTACCACTAAGCCCATGTGATTTAAAGGTCACCTATTAAGCAAAATCCACTTTTTCATGTATTTTATGCATAAACATGTGTCCCCTCTGTGTAAAGAGATTCTGAAAGTTTCAGGAAAAAGATTAGCTCACTTTTTGTCCTGATCGATTTATATAAAAACCTGTCTGAAAATGAGCCGATCAGATTTTGGCCACTTTAAGATGTCATAACGATTTTTTGGCTTGTGTAACCATTAGCCAATAACCAACCAAGGTTACCCCCCCCAACCCCCCGCACCTTATCACCTGAATCTCCTCCTAGAGCACCATTGTGTTCTTTTTAACCAAATATCTCTCAGAGGGGCGTGGGGAGTGGCTCCTTATTTTCATCTAAAGTAACATACAGAGAATCAGCACTTTTGAAACAGGGCTGAAATAGAGGGGTTTATAGGATGCTACAATGCATGATCTGTTTGGTATGTCGAGCCAAACACGTCAGAGACATGTTTTGTATATATCTGAGATCTATAATATAATGATGAAAAACAGTATAATAGGGCACCTTTAAACTGAACATATGCACTGTACAGTAGTGCCTTTAATTTCATACCCTTCAGTAGGATCTTCAAGCACTCCGTCTGCCCACAGAAGGCAGCATCATGCAGAGGTATCCACCCATCTTTGTTCTCCTTCAGCAGGCTGAGAGGAGTGGATGTTGCTAGATCATTAACAGCCTTCACATCCCCTCTCCTGACGGCAAAGACCACTGGCTCAACATCCCTTGAAAAGAGAGATAAACAACACTTTCATTGAATTACACTTAAATGCAATTAAGGCAGACATCAGCAGAGCTTGAGGTCTGTAGTTTTCATGATATCATGGATTTGTAATCTTTATAGGTGAATATCTCGATGATTTAACCTAAATAAGCTAGCATGGTATTAAATCCATCATGATCAAACATGTCATATTCGTATACAATTACACAGAAACCTGAGTTGTACGCAAGGTATACACACACACACACACACACACACACACACACACACACACACACACACACACACAGCAGCACCCATATCAAAGAGCCCCCCACCACAAAAGACTCACTCCGGCTCTGACAGTGGGTCGCTCTGACTTTGTCCTCTCCTGCTATCTCCCCGCAGTCGCGACACCGCATTATTACATTTACCTCCAGCATTACGGAACTGAGATAAGTATTCCGAATAGCTGAATTTCGTCATTACTGATGATAGATTTCTCGGCAGTGTCTCCTCTCACAGCGGAGCCGCGTGCAGAGCCGAGCGGGGCTCAGCTGTGCTGCCGAGGATTATTTTGGGACTGTATTGTCAGGCGGCAGAGTGACCGTTTATCCATATATGTCAAGAGACTCGGACACCCAGAGATAAGGCAAGCAGCACTGGAGATAAAGCAGCCTGAGCCGAAATGTCTTTCTTTGCATGAAGCCTTTATTACATTGACCGCCTGTTCATTAAACAGCCAGATAATAAAAAGCACGAGTCTTAAAGGGCACTTTGGGAAGAATAGGCCTAGTAGAAGAGGGAAAACACAAAACTCTAGTCATAACAATAAGTACTATAGAAGTAAAAGATAAACTCATCACAATACACGAGATAGCTCTACAAGGCACTGTAACATGCTATAGTTGGCTATATATTCTAGTCCTGTAGACAGGGCCGTCCCTGGTCAATTTGGGGCTCCAAGCGACATTGTGAGATGAAGCCCCCCCCCCCACCACGGGGGAAAAATTGTTTTTATAAAATATAATTCCTGTTTATTATTATTACTATCTACACAGTTACTTTTTAATACAGTGAGGTAAATGGTAAATGTGCATGTATGTCGTTCAGTATGCGTTTACAGGTGAATACGTCGGCATTTCCTGGATGCAAAGTCTTCGATAAGGCCATCGTATGACAGCTGCTGTGCCAACTGTGCGTTGATGCTTATGATAGCCAGGGCACTTAAGCGCTCTTGTGCCATTGACGACCGGAGGTACGTCTTCTCAAGCTTCAGTTTGGAAAAGCTTCTCTCAGCAGACACAACTGTTACAGGAAGAGTTACTGCAATGCGGAGGGCAATCCAGAGATTTGGGTACAGTTCCTGTAACTCACTTTTGTGGAGAAATGACAACATCTCCAGAGCAGTTTTTAATATGATGAATGCAAATACACTTCTTCTACTAATAATAATCATAATCAATTCAATAATATGAATACTATATTATTTTATTATAATATAGTTGTAATATAGTCAAGACAAAACAGGCTTATTACACACTCAAAAACTGATATTTCTTAAATCTGTATTCAAATGTAGTTCCCTCTGTCAGCAATGTATCAACAGATACACACACATTTCTATCAATATTTCTCTGTGTTGTGGTTGACATGATGATGACTGTTAGGAGTTCAGGGGAGAGGCTGAGCATCACCATGAAATGTGCAAATTGACATAAAAATGAATTAAAGGGGGAAAAAATGCTACATGTTTTTTAGGCTGTAAACTCTAACGGCCCGTCCACACAGCGGCGTGCGTTGATGCTTGGAGGTGGGCGTGTCTGAAAGCTTGGGGATTTTTTGCGAGCAACACGACCAACAACCAATCACATGAATCTCCCGCCCCCGACATACAGAGCAATAGCAATGTTAAAACGAAGGCCTGTTTGGGGATTTTATATCCAGTTTACTTCGTTTTAACATTGCTATTGCTCTGTATGTCGGGGGCGGGAGATTCATGTGATTGGTTGTTGGTCGTGTTGCTCGCAAAAAATCCCCAAGCTTTCAGANTGTGGAGAGAGAGAGAGGGAGGGAGGGAGGGAGGGAGAGAGAGAGAGAGGGAGGAGAAAACCTGAGACTACACAAACAAGGCGCTGACCGCTGCGCAAACAACACCCCCGCCTCCTCGCTCCCTCCCTCCCTTCCTTTCTTTCCCTCTCTCTTTCTCTCTCTCTCAGGAAGCTCGTCTCTCACTGCCTGTGTGTGATAAGCCTGGGGCAGACCCCTGGGGCTCACTCACACACACACACACACACACACACACACACACACACACACACACACACACACACACACACACACACACACACACACGCACACTCACGCACACTCAGACGTGCGCAGAGACACACCAATTTATGCATACCGCCCGACANTAAACTGGATATAAAATCCCCAAACAGGCGAAAACCTACCAGTTTCACCCACTGTCTCTGCCACCTCCCTCCATGCCTGGCTCCTCCGGTTTGTATCCCGGTAGATGAACAGAGACTGATCATACAGCACCGGGTGATTCACTACCGCTATAATGAATTTTTCCTCCATTTTTTGGAATATGAGGAAATGACCTGCGTAGTCTCTCCCAGAATACACACGGTTTGATTGGCTAGCGCTTGTACTGGCAGATTTGCATAAACGGGATTTCATTGGCTGACGCTTCTGCCGAGGTGCCAAAAGTTGAACATTGCTCAACTTTTTAAGCGAGCAACGCCAGCAACGCGTTGCGTCGCTTCCCAAAAGTGCAGTTCGGTAAAAAGTGACGTCGCCCCATTCAAAGTGAATGGTGATGCGTCAACGCACGCCGCTGTGTGGACGAGCCGTAACTGTTATGTAAGCCAACTAGACAGACAGTTGATCACTCTTCCTCCTGTACATTAGCAGATAAAAGGCATAAAATACTTGAATAAAAGGTAAATAAAGGAGAACATGCGTGGAGAACTGCGCACAAGCCGAGCTCATAAACCGAGGCCCCCTGCGCGAGGCCCCCTGCACAATGTGAGGCCCCATGCAGCCTGCATAATCGGCCTGTAGGGAGGGACGGCCCTGCCTGTAGACCACGTGTCCATAGGGACTATAATTCAAAGGTTACAGTTTTCAGTTAGTCCTCCTCAGGTCCTTTAATCAAGTAGACAAGGGCCGTTGCCAAGATTTTAGAGGCCATGGGTCTAAATTCCCCCACCTACCAATACACTCTATAGAAAATAAAATAATGTTTTATTGCAGGTATTATTACAAAAACCTTAATGTTAAAGGTGGGGTACGTAATTTATTTCAGAAAACCCTTTTTGTCATATTCCATGGAATGCTCTTAACATCCCGATAGCAATGAATATATTAAATGCTTTGACAATAAATACATGAAAAATGCATCTGTGGAATCCGTAGCGCTGTAAAAAGCATGACCAATCATTTTAGCCGGCCCGTTCGTGTGTGTTGGAGGAGGGGCTCTGTAAGGAAGTCTGAAGGAAGAGGCAGATTTTTTTCAGCTGTGTACTTTCAAATTCTAGCACACTCTAGCTGGTTTCTCCAAAATTACATACCCCACCTTTAAGTTCTGGCTTTATATGAATCTGCAGGAATTACATTTTTTAAAATTATTTTCCATAATTATGCTTCCATAAGACGGTTCATAATTACTATTGAGAAAACTGAGTGACATTTAGCAGAATAGTTTGTCTGGCAAAACTAAAACGTATTTAAGGCAAACCATCCCATTCCCAAGTACATCATTATTTATGTTCATGACTGCACGGCATACCTCATGAGCTTCATGTGTCTTACCAATATTTGTTGTTTTTTTTAAATATGAAGCACATGATACTAGCTTGTAACCATACACATTCACTTACAGCAGTCTTCAGTTTCTCCACTAGAGGGACCTGTTTTGTCTTTGACAATGGCAAGACATTGAAATAATAGCAGCATTAGTTTATATCTGCAGATTTCCATGTCAGCTTTTGTGGCAGAAAAAAATGGCTGTTGCAAAATCAGGCAATCTGCTGATACTAATGGAAAAAACATTTTGGCCACATTTCCCTTCCTGAATTGGCTTTGACACTTCATCACTATGTTTTTGTCTTGTGAAATAGTCCTCTATACTGAGCTAAGCCTCCACAAACTCTCAAGTTTCTACTTCAAATCCCAGAGAAAAATGTGTTTTGTTGTTTCCTTCGCACTCTTTTCCTTGATTTAATGTAATATATAGGCTACAGTATGAATTAGCATAACCACATTACCACATAAAACAACGTATTTAAGGATTCAAAGGGGATTTCTGAGGGATCGTTTAATATTAGCACGTGCAAATAAATACCATGGGTATGTGCATACTGTGGAATTTTTCTTATAAAAAAGTGACTTCATAAATTAATCTGACAAATCCTCACCTGAGCAAGTTTGATGTTGAGTGGTCTGAAGTGTGGAGACTCAGGGAGCAGACAGCCAGCCTGTGTTTGATATCATTGTTTAGTCTCTTGTAAAGAGACCTGGATCTGCTGACTGTAATCATCACGGGAGGAGATGTGTTGTCCAGTTTGAGGACCGGGACATCCAACAGTGAGCTGCTGTCCTCTTCACAGAAAGGAAGAATAGGATCCAAAACAACAGATCAATAAACCAAAGTCAGAACACTTACAGCAGCAATTGTAAAAACAGGTTTGCAAAGAATCTAAAACCAAAGGATAACATACCAACATGCATAGTAGATTGCACACGTTCATACTGAATTAGAGACCAAGCTCATTTGACAGAGCTGAGAGCAGCAGCTCAGGCAATGAAGATGGAAGCCTTTTAAGGGCATGTTCAACTGTGTTTGATTCCACTTGATGCTGCTGCTCTAGAGGCTACGCTGAGGTCAGGTTGTGTGTCGTGTAACAGTCAGTTATCCAGCAGAAAGTTGGCACAAGAATAACACATAAACCTGGACTTTATATGTTCAGCTACGACTAAGATCAATGGAATTTGAATGTTGTATGTAATGCATACACAGAGATAGAGTGAACATCTGAGCACATTTGAATGAGTATGTGTTTAAAACTGTTTAAAAAGGTGTAAAGCTTTAATTCAGAGACTTCAACTCACCACATGACAGTGTTCCTCATCCTCGTTCACAGAAGCTGCTTTAACTTTACAAATGTATCCACCTCTGTAACAACAACAACAACAACAACAACAACAGTATCCTCTGTCGTATCAGCCCCGATTGTTAGGAAGATGAAGTGAGAAAATGTGCACACAACCCCGACAGATTCTTTTTGTTTCACAATCCCTTCTAAGGACGTGTTCTAAAATGCTTCCTGCATCTAAACTGGAAGTGGCGTCTTCTGGTTAACGTGACACAAACAAGTCTATCAGCTTATCTATTTACAGCTGGAGGAACTAAACAGTGATGACAAGCTCTGAGGCTGTTTCTAAATGTCTCTGGAGCCCCACATATTTTGGCAAACAAAGACAGACTTGATTATTTAACTATATTTTGAGAGTTGCACCAGTATTTTATTCAAGGTAATACTACAACAAGTCCAGCCAGTACCCACACTACGAAAACACTAAACACAGTGTTACTTGTTACTGTAAATCCTTACCAATGTGTCGCTTTATATTTAAGATATATATATTGCAGATATATTTATTCAAACTAAAAGATATATAAAATCCATATTGATCTGTCTACCTACTCTAATGGAGTGGACACAATACTAGTAACACACAAAATAATTTAACCTCACAACTAACCCCTCCTAAAACACCAAAATGTCAATGAGCACTTCTCTGTTAAGCAAATTTAGAGCGGCAGTTGTTGATTTTGAGGATAGTGGAAATACTGAGTGGTCCTGTTTAATAATAACAAGTTAAATCTTTACAATCTGGCAAGTTCTCATAACCTCGTAACATTACCAGCATGGTTCTCTGTTTGACTGTGTAATTATAGACCTTTTGCAAAGACATGACTTGTTTTAGTAGGTGTGACAAAGTCTTCATTACTAGGCTAGTTAACCATGTCCTTGCCACATTTAAGTGTCAACAAGCCTTGTCAGTGTAGTTTTCCTGCTATAGCTAGTCAGATTCTCTTCTGGGAAATGTTGTTTATTGGTATAACTAATGCAAATGAAGCCATCGTTATTGTTATTTATTTACCATGTGCTATATCCTGTTGAAGAATGTCCAAAAATCCTTTCACTGATCAGAAGGATGCATGCTAAATTCGAAACCAAAGCCTTTTTTCATATTCATCTGCTAAAGGGGAAATGTTTTCTGTACTTACTCAAATCTGAAGTTAGGACATGTAGTTACTTTGTTTTTGGATGTCAGGACTAGTTTTGAAATCACTCAGTCAAGTCGTGTGATGTGAAAACCTAAAAACCTCAAGTGATATAGGCCAAGAACAGGCCTTTCACTAAAGAAGCCTTCTTGTGTCAATTGAAACGTTTCAAAAGAAAAATAGTTGTATATCGGAAAAATCTTGAATTTTCAATGACCGAAAAGCACTAGAAATACTTTGTAAAGCCTTTGTGTTTTATTTGAAAAGGTTTTAAAACAATGATTTGGTCAAATTCAGTCAAATTATCATTCAAAGCAGACTAATAAAATATGTCCAAAACATGTCTGAAAAAGGGATCATTATTGGAAAGTTGGAAAAACTGGAGGCTTTTTTCTATACATTTGTTCTACCTTACTATCATAAGGATCGGGTGGATCAATTCTTAAAGTATTGATAGGCTACTAAATCTTATAGTACCGAAATTAGAACCAAGAGGGTAAACAATTTCCCATCTCATGCAAGATCACATTATGGGATCACAAACACACCTCTGCTATTGTTGTATTCACCTCTTTTGTAAAATAAAAATAATCCTTATGTCTCACAAATTATTTTAACTGGTAAAAGTAGCCAGCATCAGCCTAATAATAATAATAATAATAATAAGTTAACCTTATAAATCACGACACATTCATCTAACAAAATAGTACAAAGCTTCTGTTAACATTATAGAATAACCAATAGTTGTATTCAAAGTGATTATAAACATGCAAAACCACATGTTGAGGTATTGACCAATGACCACACCTAATTATCATTTCATGATAACATTAGGTTGATTATGGGACATATCTCACTGGTAAACTTTGCAAAGTAGCCGCATTTATCATGTGAACCAGATAACGGTGCACCCCAAACCCTTCCTGAAAGTCAGAGTCAGCAGAGTTTTGGACTTGATTCACGGTTCTCTGGATTTATAGCGGAGTGAGCGCTCTTCATTCTCCCCTCGTCTCGGACCTCTCGATCTCAATTCTCAGTCAATGAAACAGAACGTCCTCTCTGGCAGTTGCCATGACATGGAGAAACGATCCCGGCGCATTCCCCGTTGTCACCCCTGCGGTTCCCAGGCAACAGCTACACAAATCCAGGAAAACATCCGGAAAGACCCTCGGTCGTCCTTCAGGTCGCCAGAACTTGGAATATTTACAAGGACTTGTTTACTCATCGGTATTCCTGGACAATATATTTGCAATAAAACAAACATGACGACTTCTTCCCTTGGTGCGTTAGATCCCGGCGACCCTCGTCTAAAACTGAGGGTGGAAAACAGAATACAAAATGTTTTTGTAACACAATCGGAGGACAACAGGTACTGTGCTTTCATTATAGGGCCACAATGAGCAGTCAACTCCCTTTTCTCAACAACACATTTATAAATGTTTGGATTGAATGGTGTTGTCACTGAACATTTTCTCCTCAGGAACCAAAAGGAGGAACATATTAACCACATACCTGTTGTGACAGAGGTAAGATTGTCATAATAACAAAATGATAGAATGTGATTATTAAGATATTTTAGGAAGACTTTTAGTGTTTTGCTTAGACTTCAGGCAGAGTCCTCGAGGCAGGGGTGAACACTTTACAAAAGACCCTGGTTCTGAAGAAACAGGCTGAGTTGGACGTGGTGGATCAGCAACTTGCAGTAAAACGAGCATTGTTTAAGAGCCGTGTGGAGGGTCTAGCTCAGAGAAGGTCTGAACTGGAATTAAAACTACAGCAGGTAATTTTAAACCCCCTAAAAGTAAATAAAACCATGAATGATCCAATGGATATCTGCTGATGGCATTTGCCTAATATTACGCATGCCCTTGGGGTCTGTTTTTCCACCCAGACTCAAGAGAGGGCTATCAAGTTTGAAAAGTTTGTGGCTGAAAATGAAGCGAAGCAACGCCGAGCACTGAAGAAGTATGAGGCCGCACGGGAGCTGAACATTTCCAAACAGAGAGAGATAGAAGCTCACACAGAACAGTTCAAACATCTTAAAGCCAGGTGAGAATCTTCAAAACCAAGCCTTAATGTAAAGATATTGCTAATTTAGACACCCTATGCCTCAGTTATACCATATCTCCATTCACAGACATCAAGTTTTAAAGGAGAGAATGGCAAAACACAAAATCTTTGAGGACTACTTGATGAAAACGCTAGATTTTCTCCCCAGTAGTAAGTTAAACTGACTTGAACTATAAGCAACTTTTACATGAACCTGTAGTGTTTATTCTACACAAAGGTTGTAAGATGGAACAAACTGCATATCTCTTTCAGCTTACCTCGATAATGGGTCTGAATCTTTGGTGATGCCCATCATTCGGCGCCATGAGACCCTGTCCATCACCCACCGGGACCTACTACAGCGTTGGGGACATCTGGAGGAGGAGGTGGAGCAGGGCCAGCGACAACTGCAGATCATGAAGCAGGAGCACAGTATTAAAAGATTGGTCAGACACACAGAACATGACAGGAACTTTGCATAAATGTACAGTGTTTGTGAATTAAAAATATATTTAGAAAGTTAACATGTGTTGCAGATGGCCAATAAGGAACTTTCTGAGCTCCAGAGTGAGTTAGAAACCCTCAAAGAGAAGAACGAGCAGGCAGAGGTTAACCTGCTGATGGAGCAAGGCCTGTCCAGAGAGAAGGTATACGCTTTTATGATGAGAGATGGAAATTACCAGTGGAAATAATTTTCAGATAGGACTTTTTGGATATAAATGGTGTCAAATGTGTCATTATCACTCAGGTTAAGGAAGTAGGCTGCTTGCTTATGGCCATCAACAACCTGGCCGACCTGTGTTATATAGCAACATATGGACCTCTGGAAAACATGAACATACTGACAAAGATGGACATGGTGAAGGTATGTTGGTTATTACCCGGTACTCATACAGTTATTCATGTTCCTTTCCTTACCTTTTAACTTATGAAGAGTATGATTTCAGGATTACATCCAGGACAAGGCAGACACAGAGAGGAGAGCGAGGAGACTGATGGAGTCGGGGACTGCCATCACAAGTAGAACCGCTCTGACAGACAAAAGAGAGAAGGGATCAATCAAAAGTATGGGCAGTAAAACACAAATAAAAAATTCAAGTAAAGTCAGTAGAAAGAGTGAGACAATGAGTTGATGTATAATGTTTACAATTTACCATGGTGTCTGTCACTGCTTGGAGTGTAACAACCAATGACCAGGATGAAGAATGTAAGGGCTGCATTAAAGTTTGACAAATAAACAAATCTAAGTCAATGGACTCTTATGGCAGCATTTTCAGTACAAATAAACAACGGTAATGTTTGTGATGCACTCGACTTTGCACTTCAAATGTAAACATATTTTTGAAAATGAGGTGATCGAGTTTATTCATCAGAACTTTGTAAATGTGTATCTATGGAACATTGCGATAGTTGCATTTTGAAAACAAATGTTTACAATCAAATGAAGCTGTCAGACCAGAAATCAACACCCATCATAATGGCATATACATTGGTATGTATGAGATTTCTAACATAGATTATACAAACAACAATGAGAAAAAAAGTATTTTCAATGATGTATCATAAATATTTTTGTGATATTCTGCGTTTTATATATTAGTACATTAATTAGATTAAATATAGTACAGCAGAGAGTGACTTTTTGTTTTGTAAATCCCAAATACAACACCGCATGATGCATCCATTTTTCATAATCTTTAAACAAAGTTTGTGTTTGAATTAGCTTGTATGTTCACAACTAACTCTTGATTGTGGCCTCCTCCATGTTGTCAAACACTGCTACACAGGTTTTCTTACCACCTTCTGGTGCAGAAGTCAATTATGTTGCAATGCTCCTCTGGGCAGTGCAGTTAAATAGGAAAACATGTTCAGACACATGCAGCTTTTTTCAGGCGTTTATGTTGTCAGTGCTTCTCTTTTCCTGGACTACATGGTAAACTGGGTTGTCGGGCTATTAGTGCATGTATTTATTTTTAAATACTTGTAATTAATGTAAGTTTTTTGTTTGTATGATACTTCCCACTTTTACGTTCCTACATTTCAGGAGAAAATATTAAAGTAAGTAAATAATGTAAGAGCCTCAGTTTCATGTCATTTTGAGTTCCAAAACATAACAAATATGATGCATTAGCCCAAAGTAGTGTAAATCAACCACAGCTTGCCCCACAAAAAAACCTATAAAATTATGTTCTTTGAGAATAATTTGCTTATCATTTTTGCTGTATTTTAATGCAATAAACATTTTGACAGAAGCTTTGCACGCAAGTATTGCTTTCGAAACTGTCGATCACTCTAGTTTACATGTCCAATTATGGAAATGGAAAAACCCACAATAAGCTGATGTAGTCAGTCGCACATTGAGCCATAACATGTTTCACTGGTTATTCTTTTTTTAGTTAGTGTTTTGCTTTACGACTCTTTCGGTTACAAAACGTCCCGTACCAAAGGCATGACGCCAGCATTAAACAGCCGTGTACTGTCCCTTTAACAGGAACACGTGGTACCTGCAAACATCCGGTTATTCAGAAAATGGAAATAAGATTGCAACAATGTTTTGACACGCAGTTTTGAAGCACGGATTCTTGCTTAACTGTAATTACGTTTTCTTACCGTGTTTCCATTTTGTTGTAATCCGAAGGTCTGTCGTGCGGGCCCGGAAACAGTTTGGTCCGAAAATAGTAAAGCTGTTTGTTTCTCGACAGATGGAGGCAGGCAGCCTTGTCTCATACCGAGAGGACATTTCTACGCTGTTCCCCGAGCACACGCCGGGTGCCAAATATAAAGTATGACATTTATTTGGGGTGGGGTCGTTTACTGTATGTGGTCATGGTCTCCCTTCCTAAATCAGTGTCCGCCCCATATTAATCCCACCTATTGTCCTTTGTTAGGATTTAAGCAGCCAGTTCCACACCGTCAGACAAGTGCGCGGAGATGGAAACTGCTTCTACAGAGCCCTCTTCTTCTCATACTTGGAGTCAGTCTTACACAACCCCAGGGCTCTGCAGAGGTCAGTTATCATTTTTGCCAGTCAAATAAACGGAACTCACTGTTTATTCAAAGAGGCCTTGTTTTACTTTGCAGGTTTAGGGAGAAAATCCTTCAAACCTGTGAAGACTTCTCTACTGCGGGATTTGATGAGAGTTCCTTCAAGCACCACCTGAATACAGTAAATGATGCATTTCCTTTCACGTTCTGTTTACTTACCAGGTAGCCATAGGTGAGTAAAGCACTAATTCTTATAACCCTGGAAAATACAATTCATTAAATTGCTATGACGTGAGAACACTAGGGGGAATTCATTGTTTGAAAATAGTTCAAATAAAAAAATGTTCAAGCAATAAAACAAGGTTAGGCAGATGACTGATTATTAGTTTGGTCCTTTGGTTAGGCCACAACAGTGATACAACAAAGGTAGTGTTGGACATAATGCATGCCAAATGCACAGAATGGGAATCCTGGGACAAGACAGGTATAATACTCAAGATAAGAGAGAATGATTTTGTGGTATGAATCTCTGAAGTCTGATACTTGGATCAGCTGCTGAGCTACATTTAATTCAAAAGCTTTCCACGTAAAGTAGGTAATTACCGCAATTCAAAACCCATTGGACTTGGTGAATTTAGTTTTCTGGCAATTATCCATTATTTGGAACGAATACATTTCTTTTTTAATCCACAGGGAATGAAAATGTAGAGTATTCATGGGAGAACACTTTTTTGACAATGTTAGTAACTGTTTGTTTTCTTGAAGGTTGTTACTGTTCTGGAGCAGTGTCAGGCTGATGAGCAGGAAGACACGCTGCTCAGGCTCTTCAATGAGCAGAGGACATCTGACAGTGTGGTGCAATATCTCAGGCTGCTCACCTCAGCACACCTTCAAAACCAGGCAGAGTTCTTCTGCCACTTTGTGGAGGCACCCAATCTACTAGTCTACTGTCATCAGGTTAGTTCAAACTGTTGCTGCTATCCAGTGAAAAGAAGAGTTGATAGTTAATTAAGTGTTTTAACAGAAGATAAGTCTAGGAATTATAACTGTCAGATTTGGTAATGTCTCTTCTTTCAGGAAGTGGAGGCCATGGCAATGGAGTGCGATCATGTGGATATCTTAGCTCTGTCACAGGCTCTGGATATTTGCATCCACATCGTCTCCATGGAGGGGGATGAGCAGCAGCTGGCTCACCACGTCATTCCAGAGGGTGCCGAACCCTCCCTGCACCTCCTCTACCAGACTTCACATTATAACATTCTCTACCCGCGACTTCAGCACTGACCAGAGATCCACCAGGACTCAGCTTAACTCAGGAATATTGACTTTGGTTCAATAAAATCCCAACTGGGCTTAAGGACACTTGAGAAAAACAGATTTTTATATAGTCTTGCAGTGTACAGCGATTTAACATTTAGAAATACATGTTTTTTTGCACATTGTGCAATAAGTATTTAAGGTTACAATCTCGAAGATCTGTGCTCTTTTTGGCAGCATTTATGCTAATAAACTCTATTTTAACTTTATTTTCACTTCCCAAATGCAAGAGCTTACATTAGTGGGTCCAAGGCTTTACCACCATTGTGTTATCTCCTTCACTACGATACTGTTAAACAACATTCATTTTAAATGAAAATCTTAGAAATGACTTTAAATGAATTGAAATGTATTTATGTAAACAAATACATAAATCTTCTCTTAATACACATTCCATTAACACGTCACTGCTGCTGCTGCTGCTGCTTTTCTTTCTTCTGCTTTTTCTGCTGTTGTGGACCACGTTTCTTTAACTTCTGTTTTTCCTCCTGCTCTGTAACCGTGGTAAGGGCACTTTCCTTTCCACCTCGATGCATGTTAGCCAGTGAGAGCCTTCCCATTTGAGTGGGGTACTTGGTCATGATCTCCCTTTTGAACACAGGCTTGGAGATCAGATATTTCAAATGCTTTTTCATCCCCTTCACCAACTTCTGCTGCTCTCTGTCACCCTCATCATCCCTTGCTCCACCTGTAGACAAAGATTGCATATTCAGTTGTCTGTATTTGAAAATGTTTTAATAAAGGGAACCTGTTACAATAGATGTGGTGTTGTGTTGTGTTGGTCTTACCAATTAAAAGGTCATCATCCAGGTCGACCTCCAGAGCCTCTGCAGCTTGTCTGAACCAGGAGTTGTGATGCTTCTCCCGGCTGTTGTGGAACTCAATCTTCTCTACCCGTCTGGCCAAGTTTACCCGCTCCTGTGGAGGAACGCACTCAACAGTTTAGGATCAAATGTAATCTTTTAAATATCCCGCAAAGTAATGACCTTAAGGTGGGTCTTACCTTGATGGCTTCCATGCATTTGCTCTCAATGGGGAACATGGGAAGATCCTCGTCCTTCCCAAGAGCCTTGTAGATCTTTTTGAAGTTCATCATGTCGTCTGGGCCTATAAGCAGCATACTCAGACCCTCTTTGGTGGCTCTCGCTGTTCTCCCACTCCGATGGACGTAAGTCTCAGATGTCCTGGGAACCTGATGTTTACAGGAGAACATTATAATATAGCTTTGTGCATAGACAATATTGCAGTGAACAGAGTTCTGCAGCTGTATTCGTTAAAATCAAATATCTGGCAATGCTCAACTGGAACCAAAATTCAGCTCGATTGTAAAGCATCTCCTGCAGTTTCATTTAACCATAAGGCGCGTTCACACCGGAGTACTTTTACCCGTACATTTCCCGTTTAGTTCCGATAGTGCCTGGAATTTTGCGTTCACACCAAAAAGAGTACTTAGTTCCGAGAACTTTTACCTCCATTTTAGTGCCTGCTAGAGAGGTGGGACTATCCTGGGGAGAAAGAAGTACCAATTTCGATTGGCTGGGCGAATTGCAAACCACTGTATTTGCTGGCATTAGCATTATTAGCATTAGCCACGCGCACCAACGGAGAGAGAATAACTTATGGCAACACAAAAAAAAACATGGGAGCGGTGGAGTGATGAGGTGTTGGCGTTCTGGCGATTTACTCGGAAGGCTTCAGTAGAAGCTGCTGGGAGTCCCAGCAGCTTCTACTGAAGCCAGTCCCCAACTCCGGGGACTTCCGGCCGGGAACTTCGGGCGGCAGTATACGCCGTGAAGTGGTTTGCGGCCTGCCAGTAAAGCCAAAGTAGAAGAAGAAGAAGTGACGTCAGCGGCTTCATTTGCGTAATATTCCCTCAGGGACTTATTCCGGTGTGAACGCGATCTTTACTTAGTTCCATGGGGGCACTAAGTGCTGGGCACTAAGTACGGCAAAGTACTTGGTGTGAAAGCAGCTATAGTGTTTATTTTTACAGTTTTTTTATACATCAAAATTTGTGCGAGTTCAAAATAAATATACACAATGGAACACAATTAAAAAAGCTTGCCTGGTAGTGAATAACATGCTCAACGTTGGGGATGTCCAGCCCTCGAGCTGCAACATCAGTAGTCAGCAAGACACAACTGGGAATGAAAAGTTAAAATGTTATTGTTGATTCAGTAACCAATGAATAAATGGTAAATCTTTGAGTTGATTTACTTAGGGATAAAGGTGAATATAACTTTCTAAGACAGTCTTATTCCAATAAATGTGAAAAATTAAAGTAACACAATGGATATTCTTAAAGTAGGTACTTTGTAATAAATATTTACTTTCACGCATACCGTATACAACCCTTAAGCCCTTGTAGTGCACAGGTGTTATATTTCATCATAGGAACACAATTGAACCTAAGCTGAGCTAAATATCTTCATACAGCTACTTCAAGTGTGTGCAAACCTACCTCTCCCTCTCAGCAAACCTCTCCAGGTTTTTGAGGCGTTGTTTCTGGTGCATGTTGGCATGCAGAGGTAGTGGAGTACGGTCCAGGATGACCAGCAGGGAGTTCAGTCTCTTGATACAGTCTATACTGTTGGCAAACACCATGGTGCGGCCAGGATACTGGAGCAAAAAGTAATAAAGGAAGAAGTCCTTTTCTTCTTTTTGACAATGGATTCGGGTCTCAGTCAGGGACTCCACAGTTGCCTCCTTCCTGGTCAAGTCAACGATTTTTGGTTTGGACTTGATTCCCACTTTCTCCATGAGAATTTCCAGCTGGTTCCTCTGGTCCAGATTCTTCCTCTTCTTCTTCTGCAGGAGGCGGATGGGCACGCTGCGAGCCATGGTCAGTGTAGCGGAGAACACAAAGGTTTGCCTCTTGGGATTAAAGTGCACGGTGTTGAGCATCTCCAGAATACTCTCCAGCTCAGCAAAGTGGCCTCTCTCCACCATGCGATCTGCTTCATCAATTACCAGGCACCTGTCGGAAAAAAACACAACCAGTAAGTAAAAAATGTCGCATGAAAATTGATATAAGCCAATATGGTCCCTTTTGACCTGCCTATAAGAAACAAGGCAAACTTTTCCATTAAGAAGTGGTTATGGTCTGACATTTAACACTAAGAAACCAAACTTATTACGCTGTTTATTATAAACTAAATAATTAATAAGAACAAAAGGCTGGATGACAATTGCAGTCGATTGCCTTAAAAAGGCTTAATATAGAGATGACATGATGATAAAAATTAGGGTTTTACAAAACTCAGTCAGCCAAATGATTGACTCTAAGTATATGCAATTTATTAAAAATAATATGATGTCCTGAATGGCATCAAGCTTTAGAAAAAGTAAATATATGGCAAACATTAGTATAGCAACATTACATTTATTAGATATCATATTGCCCTACAGATTTTTTCCATATGACCAAACCATGAAATAAAGAGGAGTGAATTCGTGACCTACTTGAGCTGTCTTAAATTCACCAGATGTGGATGGCGCTCCTGGATCAAGTCCCACAGTCGTCCTGGAGTAGCGATTATGATCTCTGGTCTTCGTTTCAGCACCCTCCTCTGTTTCTCTTGTGCCATTCCACCCACCACTATCGCTGTCTTGATGTCTACACAAAAGTAACATCTTTAGGATCTTGACATCAATAAATTGTACTTTCTAATTATTAAAAAAAATTAAATAGTAATCATAAAACTCACCTGTAAATTTTGTAATAGCATCAAAATGGTGCTTGACCTGAACTGCCAGCTCTCTGGTGGGAGTGAGCACCAGTCCAAGCAGAGGCTGCCGCCGACCGGCTGCAGCTTCTTCTTTTTCTTCAACGGTGTGTTCAAAACCAAACGTTGCATTTTCAATGACCTGAACACACCCAATCCTATTATCGCCATCTGTTTCTTCAATGTCCTCCTGTTCGTCTTCGCTGTTGGGTTCATCTGCGTCACCCTGTTCGTCTTCACTGTTGGGTTCATCTGCGTCACCCTGATCCTCCTCTGTGATGCTTTCACCCTCTTCTCCCTCAGCCTCCATGTCATCCTCCTTGTCTTCTTCTATTGAAGACTCTTCTACATCTGGTAAATACAAACTCTTCACATTTGTGGTTGGTTCGCGGCTATCATCAACAGGCTTTTCTGAACCGCTCTTCCACTGTAGGATGGCGTGGATCATGGGGATACCAAAAGCCAACGTCTTTCCACTTCCTGTAATGACAGTGCTCACATTAGCTTCACTTTGGAAACATGACGACAGATGGTTTAGTGGTGTAAATCACAACAGGTATCAATCATTTGGACACAATAGGACATGTGCTTGCATCACAATGTCTGCCATGTATATTAACTAACAATAAGCTATTAAAAAAATGTTTTAGAACAGGGCTATAATACACATTTAAATGAAAAACAATAAAAAATAAATCATTGGATCATTGAATCGATATTTCATTCCAGATCAATTAATTGTGACACCATTATGGTAAAAAACTAAAACTAAAACTAATGGTATTCATCGTACCTGTCTCAGCTGCTCCCAGTATATCCATACGGTCCCTGATGGCTGGAGGCAGAGTCAGGGCCTGTATGGGGCTCGGTGAGCTAAATCCAAGACTGCTTAGTGCCTTTAGCACAGGGGAGGGGACGAACAGGTCATTCCAAGCACTCACGTCAACATTTTGGTCACCAGAACCACAACGGGCTGCATTTGTCCAATTATTTATCTGCTTTTTGCTTTTGGGGGGCTTAGGCGCTTTTTCTTGGGTGGATTTTCCAGGTTTTTCTTTTTCCAAAGCCTGAGGTTCAGATGGAGACTCCTGGTTTGGCTGAGCCTCTGGGGTTTTCTCTTCCTCCATCTGCTGCTCCGGTTTCTTGTTCTTGTTCTTCTTCTTTGTTGGTTTTGAGGGTGCATCAGGTTTTGGAGCAGTTGCTATATCTGTGGAAGCGTCTTCTTTAGGCCTCTCTTCTTCCCCTTTCTCCTCACCTGCATCTACATCCTTCTGTGTCACTTCCTCAGAGGTGTCATCTGGTTTTTCTGATTCCTTTGCTTTCTTATTTTTATTCTTCTTGGCTTTTTTCTTAGCTGGTTCAGCTGCTTTGTCCCCCTCGTTGCTCTCGGCATCCACTTTCTCGGCATCCACTGTCTCGGCATCCACTTTCTCAGCATCAACTTTCTCAGCATCCACTTTCTCAGCAGCATCCAATTTCTCAGCAGCCCCCTCTCCCTCGCTGGCTTTTCTTTTCGCGCTTCTCGCTTTCTTCCTATTCTTTTGCTTTAACTTTTGCCTTTCTGCTTTGGCTTCAGCCTTCTCAGTGTCTATCAGACGGTAATTTGAGAGCTCTTCAAAACACACAAGACCCTCCAAGCCCTCCTCGGAGAAGATACTGGGGTCGAGCTCTATAGCTTTCCAATTGCCTTTCACTTGGATGGCTCGTTTAGATGGCCTCCGCACTCCGAAGGACATGCGCTTGTTTCCGGGCTTCATCTTCTGTATCTTCATCTTTCTATAAATAATTAGAGTTACAAAAATATGTTAAACTGCCTCCCTCATTAAAAGCGTATGTCTGAAGTGAGCTAACAGCTAGGTGCCGAGGAACTCCAACTATATATGAAATGTTCGCAAAAATATCAGACCCAACTGACTTGGCATAACCCAAACAACAAACGCAACAACTAAATATTCGTACAATAATTTTAAAAAACAATACCTTGATAACTCTGGCGATTTCCTAATGCCAAAATATGCTCACGAATGTTTACAACCACGCATTACACGAGGGCGCAGCCATGACAGTCTTCATCACGTGGTTTGAAAAAACTTTATTTGTCGAAAAAAAGAAAACAAAGATTTCTTTACAACAGAGGCGAAGTCACGCCCATCTACTTCCGGAAGTCAATGGAGAGAGAAAACGTATCTTTCGATCCCGTTTGAATTGTGCCATGAATTACACATATGATGTTTGTCAATCTTAAAAAATAATTTCCATGCAAAAAAAGTCACAGTTTGTCATAGAACTGTTGAAATATAAGACTATGAAAAATACGCAACTAGAAAGACTACAAATCGAAAGATAAGTTTTCTCTCTCCATTGACTTCAATACATAATTTTTCCGAAATAAGGTCCCATGGGTCGGAAGTAGATGGGCGGGACTTAGACTGTGATCCGTATCACAGTTTATTAGAAGTACCAGATTGTAGGCATACTCTGTTACAAGTAAAAGTCCTGCATTCAAAATGTTACTCAAATACAAACACACATATATATATTAGGATCAAAATATACTTAAAGTACCAAAAGTAAAAGTACTCATTATGTAGATTGGCCCATTCCACAATAATACATATGTTTTAATTATAGTTACTTCCAACCTCTGCTTATAGCATACTAGGAAGAGTTTAATATTTACATTAAAACATACATAAAGGCACCAAAAATAAAACAGCTCATCAGTTATATTTTTTATAAACAAGAGCACCTTCTTAATGCCAGGTTATGCAAATAATCTTGCTTGTGAGCTATCAAAAAATGCATTATTATATCCATCATCGTTTCACTTGTTATGCACAAGGTTGGTGCTGTTTACAGAAATTAAAGGTCCTGGTGAAGGGGTCGCTGCTCCTAAACTCTTGAGGTTTCCAAAATAAATAAAAAGCACACTAATGTATTTTATTATTTTTATTAATATGTATCACATTTCAGTTGGGTCCCAGACCAGAATAAGCATTTGTAATTCAAGTTTGAAAAAAGGCATCAAAACAGTCTTTTAAAACCATTTATAAACACAATATGTGCCTGCATTCCAAGACTCAAACAGTCATGACTGCTAGTTTTTGGTAGGGTCAATCACCCTGCCCATAAACAGCAGACAGTTTGTGTCTTCATGGTATATGAAGAAGAAAAATGGTCTGTTTATAGTGAAGGTCCGGGGTAAGGAATATGGAATAATGCCAGAGGTTGTGGCAGCTGCTGCAGTGGTGCCTGCCTCGTCCACCTCGATCACAGCCTTGTGCAGCACCTGTGATTTTATAGTAGATTAAAAAAAAATGTTTCAACTGCAGGTGTTGGAATATGCAAACATTTTCTTACATCATGGAAAACTAACCTCTGACACTTTGAGTCCGCCTTGATTACTCAGCTTTGTCAAATTGGCTGAATTACTGAAAATACTGGATATGCCCATGTCTGGTAAGAGATTGTGCAGGGAATACGACTCCTCCATCTTGAATTTGGGCAAGTTGATTTCAAGTTTGCTGAAAGAAAAAAAAATTGCCAGCCAGGTTTAGTGGACTGTTGTTTTATGATACTGTGTATTTGCACTTTTACTTTTTTCAATTTGTTTCTGGAAAAAAAGATCACAAAGTCTTTGGCAATGATAGCTGAAATACAACAGATACAGGTAATAAAATAGCCTTATGATGTTTCAAACGTTTCCACATAATGACTTTCTATGCACTAACTCTTTTTGCAGCTTTTTGATCCAACTGAGAAACCTCTCAGCAGTGATCCCATCATCGATCACAGTGTAGTCGATGCCTCTGTTTGGGAGAAGAATAAGCATGGAAACACCTTCCAGGTACGGCAGCTTCAGGACTCTGGCACGGAGAGTAGCATCTTCCATTGTATAGAACTTATCCTCTAAAAACATCATCGGCACTTGCACAATATTATAGTTGTCAATGTAGAATGGTGCATTTGTTGTGTAATTGGAATTGAAAGGCTTCTGCCAGCCTCCTGTAGAGGAAATTATAGTTATTTAGTTGTGGATACAATAGGTGAAAGACATCAAAAAGTAGTGAAAGCACAGCTAATAATGAACCAAGATGTAAATCTTAACTCTTAAGAGATTGTTTCAACTTACCCTGGAAGAAAATTGTGTCAATCAACATGACCTGGGTCAGTGCATCCAGGGAGGAAATCATGTCTGTCACTTTGTTCTGAGTCTTTTGCTTAATATACTCATTGATGAAGTTGATACTCTCCGTTGTGTCAGCAAAGTCTACACTTTTAATATCAGCGTCAAAAAACATCTTGATTTGGTCTTCAAATGCCTTCTCCACCACAAACTGCTGGCACGTAAAGAGAGCCATGCCTTGGTCGAGTTTCAGAGATCCATTCTGTGTGATGTTCTCATGGAGGAGTTTGAAGAGTGTTGGGATAAGCTGAGGCTGGTCAGCCCGCTCCAGCTGCTCCAGATTGAGTCCCTTCAGTATTTCTTGGTGTGTAACTCCATCAGAAGCCATCAAGAGAGCAGCAAAGCTGGTGGAAATGCTCAAAGGTGAGAAAAATATGTTCTTGTCATGGTAGCTGGATATCTTTCTGTATAGGTTCATGGCAAAGTCCATATTTTTGAAGGACAGATCCGAGATGGTGGCGCCTGGGATGTGCGCTTGTTGGACAGGAGCGAGGAAGCACATCAAGGTGACAATGAAAATAAGTTCCATTTTCAATTTGTGTACCAACATATTTTTGAGAGATTTGGTTGCACAACCTGAAACATGCAGACAAGTAATGTCAGAAGATAGTACAAAAAAGACAACAGGCCTTCCTCACAGCAGACCTTTTGAATTGAATCAGTAGAAAAAGCGTGGGTGTTACAAATAACACTAACGATGGCTCTGTTCTAGTGAGCTAGTGTCCATGATGCCAAACCTAAAGTCAAAGCAGCTAAAGAAAAATAATATTTTCATTATCTACACCTTTGTATTTCCTAGTGACAAGCCAAATTGTCCGCTGTGAAAAGAGCCTATTTGACAATAACACAATACTAACACAATATCTAACCCATCTACCAGAAATGATAACACATTAGATCTCATCCATCACAATTCTTCCCCATTTAAATTCCCACCTAAAGAAATTGAAATAATTCAAGTTTTAAATGCAATAGATAGCTGGTTTCCAAAATTGTTGTACGTACCATTCAGCTTGTGCGAGTTTACTTCTGATAGCTCCATGTATTATTTGGGGAAACAAAGTGCAAGTGTGCTCTCAGAGTTACATATTAACCCTGACGCATCGCCTGTTGTGTTGTCCAAATGGAGTCAGAGCTCAAATATTCAAGGCCTCTTTTTTCAGGAGTGAAAAGTCCCAAAAATAAACCATCAATAACTGCATGTTGTTGAGTTGGAAAAACAGAGACATGAGAAACTTCAGGAGTGAATGTCACTTTAATCCTGGAACATGACCCGACACATTAAATCAAAGAATGTGCTATGGTAACAAGTGAAATATAACAAAACAGATTTGTAAGAGTACTTATTGTGAGAATGTAGGGAGTAAAAACAATGCAATGATAAAAACCCAACAACCAACAATGCATGCACTTTCGCAAGTGTCATTTAAATAGAAAAAAGGCCTAAAAGATCCAAAGGAAAACAATAAGGACATCATGGATTTTCCTTGGTTGTCATCCAGTACAAAAAGTAGACTTCGTATGAGATTGTATACTCTTGTGGAGGAACCAAGGTATACCCATGCTGTCATTGGTTCCAGCAAACTAAATAACTGTCAACAAACATTTCTAATGCAGTTACAGTATGTGCTCAATCAATCAACATCATTTTGATTGAAAAAAAATCAAGAAGAGATTGTTGTATCAACAAAAATACAACAAACTCTAAAGTAAATACACTGTGATGTGTTGTTCTATCTTTTGGTTTTAAATAATCAAAATATGTCCCTCCCCCTCTCACTATTTTACTGTTATTTCTAAAGGTCATCGATTGGAAAATAGTTAGATTTAACCCATGGCACCTCAGTGCTTTATTGGACTAGAGGAGAAGTCTAAGCAGTGCTTTTAAAACTAAATTACAGGTGTTAAACTATCAACCACTTGTGAAGGTACATCAAAAAGATTTTCTTTACATTTCCTAAACAAAATTAAATTCCCTATGACAAATAGGAGAAACGACTGAGGCAGTCCTAAACTTATTAGACTGGACGTGTCAAACTTTCTTTCGTTTTTTAGGTGATCATACTTGCTGGAAAATGTTACTTTTATTTAGCAGCTGTAGTTTAATGGTGTTAACAGATTAATTTTTTGTTCCCCGTTACAGGCCAACTTATTCTGGACAAGACGTGAAAAATATGCATCAGTCAAAAGTATCTTAGATCCAGCAAATAGCTCTATAGTTATTTTGTGCACTGTCCATCCTAAATAGAAAAGCTGTGTAATCTTAGATTTCATTATGCCTACTTATACACTTATGGCTAATAATAACAAAGCCGCAACATCAGTTATATGTTGTTGGAATACCTTGGGATACTACTCTTAGACGTTCACAAGTAAAGATTAGGAAGGAACAAAAAGACCCACACATGTTAGTGCTGATTGCTAAAATATATTTCACTACTAGAAGTGATTTCAGAGCTAAATTGTTGTTTGGGTGGGGCAGGAGTTGGAAATACATCCTATGTCCTACAAATACAAGTCCAATGTTAAAGTAGGGGTCATTATCTATCAAACATCTTATCGGTGTGTTTGGTTTCCTATTGGCTTTCACCGGACAACCATCTTCATATGTATTCCCCCTAAATAGATAAACACACCGTTTGTATGCTGAAGATTCCTTTTCATCTTTTGTCGGAAAAAAACAAGAATAAAAAAACAGTGTACAATAGAAATAGAAGGCGCCATGGCAAAAAGGCAAATGCAAACTTGGATTAACTGCATCGTGGGTTCTGTGGTCGCCCTTTTTCCCAGTGTCAGTGTCTCGCTGAGTTAGATTAGACTAACTGCTGCCTTTTCCTCATCGTTGTTCTCTTCTCTATTGCCTGTCAGCGAACTAACCAGGGGAAACGCGTCAGCCTTCTGACTGTCCTTATGTTCGCATGTGCAGAAGGTTAGAGGAAGGAGCAAAGCTTCCCCTGTACGGGGTTGCCAATCCTGGCAGCTGGTAAACAACATAGGCAAACCGTGCACACTTTCACTGGCTGGGCTTTTGTTGTTGGTCTTCTTCAGAGCCAGGGTTCATTGATCCTAGAAGAGGGGAGAGAGCTTAGTTAAGTATATTTCATGGGTTACCTGGATAGGCTTATATTATACAGTTAGTTAACATAAGTCAGATGTCACTACCTGAACCACCTGATGATTTCGGGTCAGGTTGCTGAGGAATGTTGGACTGAGCTTGTTGCTGCTGCCTACGAAATGAACAGAGAGAATTCTTAGAAACATCCATGAATTCAGTTTACATTAATTTAAAAGGGGAGGACACAATATCAGGAATACTTCAATCGGTTCTAACTATAAATTAAAAACATGTTATAATGAAGACACAGTTACAGCATAAATTATAAAAAGTAGTGTTAATTGCAGGACTATTTAATAGAATTCAAGAGTTTATTATTTATTGTGTCGAGCCAAACCTACCGATCAAAATAGGCTTGTCTCCTCTTCCGCAGTTCTTCAGCTGTGAGCGCCTCATTCTGGCCGGCTCTCTGTCCTCCAGTAGAACTCCCTGCTGCCTGGCTTGCCAATTTCATGTTTCCCATTTCAGACTCAGAGGACTTGTTGCTCATCACTGCTCCTATAATATTATTAATAAACAAAGAATACCGTTTTGCTTTAAACTATTCTATTATTGCAAACCTGGAGCACAACTTGTGAAATTAACAATGAAAACGAAAATACTTGTTGATATGATCTTTAGTAGAAGTTTAAATAACAGTGCAGTGTATCAAGAATTGTAGATTTATTAAATCAACGTTTTTGTTGAAATCCCTAACCTAAATCATATTAAAAACGTTGGATAACCCATAATTTACCTTGCATGCTGAGCTGTATGGCTCTGCGGAGATCAGCTTCTTCATCTTCCACATCTATGTCCTGTCTGCTGAGTGCCAGAGCTTTTTTCAGCTCTTCGTCTTCATCTACAACCTCGTCCTCCACAGCAAAGGTCATATCCGCCTGGCTCTGAGCTGCCGACCTGCTGCTCAGAGCGCAAGTACAGATAAGTTAGATATAGCTTTTAGCAGCTTAATACATAAACGATGATAATTCTGTTCTGTTTGTACTGTTAGCAAATATAGTACTTACCCAGCACTGGTCTGGGCTTCATCCTCTCCGATAAGCTTTGGTCGCTGCTGCTGATGTACCCTCATGATCCCTAAAATCTGCTCTGCTTCACACTCAGGGAGGTTTCCACGGATCACAAATATGGAATAACCTGTCCAAATTCAACTTTAAAATTATTTCTGCACAGCAAAAGAAACAACAATCATAGCATTACAAATGTAATTTTACAATACCTTCTAGTTGTAACTGAGCAAGGAAAAGGGCTAGATAGGTGTCTGATATCAACTCTGGTCCAGTCAGCAGTGAATTCAGGTTAAACCACTGCAATGAAAACAAAACGGTGTGTTTTTTGTGTGCAACTCAGGCTGTGTCAACATTGGTTATGATGACAATTGCCTCATACCTGTTGTCCTAGTTTGCGTATAGTAAACCAGTGCTCCTTGTAGTTGCAAATGAAGGCCTTCTCATTTCTGAAAAAATGAGCGTAATAGCTGTCACAATCAATGTATACTGTGAAGAAGCTATGAGATTACAGATAAGGAAAATACATAATAAATACTTACATAGGATTGATCATCAGGCTCTGGTACTCCCGGCTGTTGAACAGGATTAGCTCCAAGCCCCAGACTCTCAGTGCATTGCTAATTACCTACGAGGAAATATATAACAGAGCAGGGAAATGACATTACTGATTTATACAGTTATTGATTTGTGAATAAACAACTATTGAGATGAGTGAATCCCTCACTTGAATTGAAAAGAATCCGCTGTCATCCATGTTGCCAGATGGTTGCTAGAAACACATTCATAGAAAATACATTTGGAACATGTTTGTAAGAGCAGCTGCTGCATTAGCATTCACATCTAATGTCTCCTCACCTGCAAGAAGGTCCTATACTCCTCACTGGCCATACCTCCCTCCGCCATCCTCATCCTCTCCTCTTCATCAAGCTGGTGAGCGATGGAGGACAGATCCACAGGAGTGAAATACTCACCCTGCAGGAGGTTGTTCAGACAGTGTTGGGCGCAAAGAGAGCCCTCTTGCTACAAATAAAGATGAGTTATTGATGAGAGACTAGAGCATTATTTTTGTTATGTAAACTTAAAACTAAATAGACACTGAATTAGCTAACGTTAATAGTAACATGTTTTTCATTTGTCTTGTCGCCACGGAAACAGCCTTACAGGCTACATATAGCATACGTAAACTAACATAACTACTCTTAACACTACTTTAAAAGACGAGATAGCCAATTTAGCCAGTTAGTTTACTAACTGGACAAAAAAAGAACATGCTTGTAGCTATTAGGGAGCGTTTAGCGTCGTTACTCCTAGCTGAAGATAAACTTTTCATAATCTATGATTAGCAGGTGCAGTTAGCATGTTAGCTGACTCTAGACAACAATACTACCAAACATCCCCACAAATCTCTCAACACCGGCCAGATAGGTCCAGGTTACGAACCGCCGCTAAAAGGCACAAAGCTTTCCAAATAAACGAGAAGAATTATTCGTGGCTTGATAAGTA